TCCCTTTGTGATATGGAACCTTGTAGTACAATTTCAGAAATATCCAAACACTTACACACAAGTTATTGTCATGAAACTAGAAAAATGCTTGTTTTTGCCCCTTTTTTGGCCCCTAATTCCTAATATTTTGAGGCAATTACCCCCAAAATCAATCCCAGCATTCCCTGTGTGATATGGAACCTTGTGGTACAATTTCAGAGAGATCCATACACTTGAACACAAGTAATGGTCTGGAAACTAGAAAAATGTGTTTTTTGGCCCCTTTTTGGCCCCTTATTCCTAAACGTTTCGGGCAATTACCCCAAACTCAATTCCAGCTTTCCTTTTGTGATATGGAACCTTGTAGTACAATTTCAGAAAGATCCATACACTTTCACACAAGTTATTGTCATGAAACTAGAAAAATGCTTGTTTTTTGCCCCTTTTTTGGCCCCTAATTCCTAATATTTTGAGGCAATTACCCCCAAAATCAATCCCAGCATTCCCTTTATGATATGGAACCTTGTGGTACAATGTCAGAGAGATCCATACACTAACACACAAGTTATGTCTGGAAGTTACAAAAATGCTTATTTTTGGCCCCTTTTTGGCCCCTAATTCCTTAACTGTTGGTACCATAACCCCCAAAATCAATCCCAACCTTCCTTTTGTGGTATTGAACCTTATGGTAAAATTTCATAGAGATCCATTCACTTAAACTAAAGTTAGAGTGCGAAAACCAATGTGTCTTCGGACGACGCAGGACGACGCCGGACGCCAACGTCATACCAATATATATTTGCGGTCGTATAAAAACCAACAGACATTGAGAATGTCAATATTTAAATGCTTACAGATTGTATTGAAAACTCAACCTCTATATGGTTTTTTCCATGCCACAAAATTTTGATAATATAAAACATTTTTTTAATGAATGAATAGTTAATATCATTAAAATACTGAAAAAAGTTCAATGCAGTAAGTGGAGGTAACTCACTGTGACATAAAGGGCTCAAAGCTTTTAGAACACATGGATTAAATTGTATCATTTAAAATTTCAAGAAAAGTATAATAATAAAAGTATTCATGAATAAAATCACATCATTTGTACTGATTTTAATAGTAAAAACACCATAATTTTTTTTAAAATGATGAATTGTGTTGTGTTCTGAGAAATGTTCATGTTTGATAAAACTATTTATAAAACATCATTTACAAAAGATACTTTCAATAATAAAATCAGACATGTCAAGCAGGATAACCTTTATAAAGTATTTGTTATCCACTACTACCATTAATTTCATTTGAAAAAATGATTTACCTTTCTACAATACTGGTAAGTTTTACACATGCCTCTTCTGCAGAATAAGCAAACTGGGCATCTGGATGGGCAACTCTAACAAAATCTGACTGCAAATAAAGTTACAGTAATATATTCTTCTCATTTTTTTTTACTATTAGTAAGTGTAACACTTATTTTGATTAGATTTAATCTGGCAGTATCACAATACTTTGATTGACCTTTATCTGGCATAATTTAAAAAGGTACTACCACAGGACAATCCTCTCAACACTTAGTTCAAATACCAATACTAAATAATTTCAGTGATGTTTTTTTCTGCAGTATCAGTGTCCATGTTGACTGGTCAGCATACGATTTTATTATTAATGTTTAAAAGATAATCCAGATCAATTAAGTTCAAACTGACCCCCTTGGTACTAGGTAAGATTTTTATTTACTGGTAATCAAGCAGGAGGCCAATTAAGGTAAAGAACAATGATTGCAATTTCAAAATAACTTGGTCATCATGTCTTGTGTGAGATGTTAGAGGATGCTGGACACAAAACCATTAACATTAAAGTTATAAATACCATATCAGCTACTCTGCAGATAGAGTCTGACATCTGATCAAATATCTGTACAATCTTTCTCTTCCTGTCAGTACTTGTAGTCTCTTTAACAAGATCATCAATTTCATTTTCAACTCTTTGTTGTAAAAGATAAAATCCCTCATGGCTGGATAATTCTGGTATTAAAAACAAGCCCTATATAAATAGATAAAACAGAATTTATTAGTTTTTAATAGTAAACACCAACGACAGTAAAGAAACTATGCCTCTGCAAGCTAACAATATGAGTAAAATTAATTAGAAGGATAAAACAGAAATTATTTTTTTGTTGTTTTAAGTTTGATAATAATAATATATATTTAAAGGTTATAATTTATTTGTTTTTTTTAAAGCAAACACCAACTGCTGTAACAAATTATGCATCTGCATGCGCCAATGTGATTAAAAATAAAATAGCAAGGTAGAAAAACAAGTAAGAAACTATAAAGTTAAACCTACATACAGACATGTACATGAATTAAACAGACATATTCACAGACTATGGCAGACTTCTGCATCATAATAAGTAAAACAAAATTTGCAAGGTCTAAATAAACTTTATCAATATAATTGGAATGAAATGTGATAGTTACTTTAAAAGACATTGGAAACTTTAAGACACAAGTTTACCATAAAATGGATGAAAAGATCAAAATACTTGTTTCCCTTTATTACTGTTATGCAATGAATGTCTTCCTTAAAAACCTATTGTTCATAATGCTGAAATTGCCAATTAATGCAGAGTATAAATTCACAATAATGTAAACTTGAAAAATGAAAGAGTTGTTCTTTTAGAGTATTGTAATTTTCTTGCACTATTTTCTCATGTTTATTCGTTCCATATCCTCTCTTTAATCAACAGAAGATTGTAAAACGACATAAGCCCCATCATGCCCATTGAGATTCTGAACCTACAAAAATATGCATGCAAATAATCAAATATGTTCAGAGGATGCAACACATACTGTAAAACATACAAAGCACATATAAAATACATAGTAGCTCATTAAAGAAAACTTGTGTTGGTGTTCAGTGAATCATAATGAAACAGGGTGATTGTTGGTGATTTAGCTCTTATTTATGACCCTGTAGTAGTATATCCATTAAATATTCTGAGGAGTTTCAGAGCAAATCATCAACAATCACCAGCATTCATTGTTGAAATTCAACCCCTAGAAAAGTGTAAAAAAAACTAAACTACCTAGAGTGCACTGTACAACTGTTACATGCCTTTAGTGCAATACTCACTGACTGTTCCTTTCTCAAATTAAGATTAAACTTCTTTGATGGTTTGGCATTAAAAGACTGTGTTAATGGTGATAAAGTTGACACAGATCTCCTTAAGATGACAGGATGGATGTATCTTAAATAGCGCCTAACTATAAACCAGACCATACTGGAATTTGTTTCAGATCTACATGTATCACCTATAAAATATATATCAAAAATCTCTTTTACTTTTATTTCTACAAATCTGTGTTATAAAGAGTCAAAAAGAACAAATAATTAAAAATAGAGACAATTGACATGTCAGCAAGGGCCCTGCTTGCTTATTTTTCAATGAAACACAGACACAAATAATTAATACTGATGCAAACAAAACATTTTATTTTCATGGTGTATCAATTTTACAATATCTGTAAATTTTGACACCAGGAATTAATTCAGGATGTGTTTTTGAAGAATGTAAAGTTTGAATAAAATTTAAGCACTAGGTATTTTGGTGGTCAATATACCAACAGGTAGATAAAAGTCCACATTACAAAATTATTCAGGTCTTACAAAGGGAACATGCCAAACCAAATACCATTTATTTCCAGAGTCTATATATATAGCTAATAGTAATATTAAACACATATATGTGTTACCTGGGATTTTACTCCAAAGATCTTCTCAAACACTTAATTGAATGTAATTACATTGTGTTTTGTAATTCTATCATCACACTGTATAATAATTAAAATATCATAACAATATCAAAAAATAAAAAAGACAGGAACAGCCATTTCTAATCTTTTAAAATAAATGTTTTCATAAATATATAAACGGTTAATTACATTCAAAGTTATATTTTCTTTTTATAAAATTTTTCATTTGATTTAATTATTTAAGTCTATACTCAATAAAATGATTTCGGACATTATCAAGTCTTTTTTTTGGTCGACTTCAGGGCGGTCATCCTGAATTCCTGAGACAAAAATGCCAAATCCTGAATTCACGTAAAAATAACGTGTCTGTCCCTGCATCACAATATATATGTATGGCCTGAATTCCCAAGAAGTTAACTGACTAATCCTGAATTCCCGTGAATTATTGAAGGCTCAATAAATTCCTAAAATAAGTCCATGTGGCCCGCATTTTAGTTGACAATATTTATAACGTTACATCATCAAGTGTCGGAATATATTGCTCATAACTAAAATTAAAAACTAATGGACCCTTTACCAGCCAATCTGTAGGGACAGAGTTATTGAATGTAATTATGACTGATAAAGCTGTGTACAAGTTTGCAGCACTTGAAACTGTATACGTCATGCAATAATCACTTTTTACTAATGTGACGTCAAAATTTTAAGGGGAACATCTGAGATGTCCAGTCATGATACATAATAGTGATAAGTGTATCTATATAAACACTTGTAAAACCTTTTTTTTAATAAAATATCTGTAATTTCTATGAAATAGTATGATAATTCTTTAAAAAGTGTCTCATAAGCATTTCATTTTGAGAACTATGTCACTTTTTCTTTAGTTGTGACCATTTTTGTCTACCTTTCCTTCAATATTGAATATATTTCTTGATTTTTAAACATATTTTTAACTTTTTCTCTTCAAAACATGGGCGCAGACATCTTGAATCTTGTTGAATGAATTTACACGTGATTGTCAAAAATTTAATCAGAAACCTAAACGTTCAAAATAAGAATGCAACGTTCAATGAAATATGGCCATTGATTATACACAATACGTAGTTATACAAGTTACTACTGTATCCAAAAATCCGAATTATTGTTTATGGTTACCTACAAAGATATAAGAACAATATGTTATTGTCGGTACTCTAATAAACAGTATACCAATTTGTCCATTTTATTGTATCTCACATTTTGGTAGCTATATTGACCGGATGTCTCGCCGTTATGGCTGCAGCAGCCAACCTTCCTCCTCAAATTTTAGAATCAATTTTCTCCTATTTAAATATATCTGATTTAAGAACATGTTCCTTAGTGTGTAAGAAATGGTATAAGTTTTTGAACGATGAAAATAATGATGTATGGCGGTTCCACTGCATACGAAAAGTGACAGAACAAGTTCTAAAGTCTGACATTTTGAAAAACGTTCCAACATATAAAGCGAAACTGCGAGCTTTTTTCCATAATTGGAATTTAAATGATTGTTCTAAAAACATTGTAGTGAAATCTGGCGGATTTACAGTTCATAGAAATCCAGTAGCTCAAAGTACGGACGGAGCTAGAGGGAAAATAGGTTTTAGGACAGGTCGACATTGTTGGGAAGTGTGGTGGGAAGGACCGTTAGGGACAGTAGCTGTGATCGGATTAGCAACTAAAAAAGCTTCATTACATAATATAGGATATGTCAGTTTATTAGGTGGAGACGATCAGAGCTGGGGATGGAATTTAGTTGACAATCACCTGATACATAATGGTGATAGTCAAGGCAATTATCCTACATTAAATAATGCTCCAACCTATCAGGTGTGATATTAATTAGCAATAGCATTTACCTACTATATAAATGTATACACAAACAATACATTCCATTATGTGTCAGAATTTCAGTCTGTTAAAAAAATTATTTCTTTTGTACAAATGACTGAAATGTATAAAGTTGAAGCAGTTTCTGCAAGAAATCTGTACTTAATGTACAGTAACACTTACATGTATCTGTAACTTCATTTTTAAAACCACAAGTGACATGCATTAGTTACTTGATGGACAAGGAACTTTGTATTTTAATAATGGTATAAATATGGTTATTTTTATTTGTTTTATGTCCTTGCCTACAAGCAGATTCAGAACAAAAGAATAAACACAACTGTTGTAAGACTAAAACAATAGTAATTTTTAAAATATGCATAATTCATCGATCACATAGCATAACATTCAGGGTGTGCTATCGCTGTAACTGGTATTAAATGAGTTAAATACTAGTCTTTCTTGCATTTGCATTTGGTAAATCGCTTTAAAGGGACAATTGCTGTGGATTTAGAGATCTGCAAACTGTTATACATGAATCAGGATTGGGAGAATCTTCATAAATGGGAATTATCCCCATTTATGGGTATTATCCCCATTTATGGGTATTATACCCAAAACTGGGTATCAATTTACAGTGATAACAAATCAAATTTTGTATTTCATCATAATAGCTGTCATGGCGCAAATATTCATATAAATGGCAACATTTTCCCATTTAGTCCATAGTTCAAATGAGAACTTAATACAAAGATAATGGCTTCCAAAAATCCTACTTTTTGAAGGCTGTTAACTTTTATCCTGATGATATTTCCGTCATGGTATCTTTAGGAAAAATGTTGTCCTTGAACCCAAATGTTTGCGCCATGACAGAAAATATTTTTAAATCCAAAGTTTATATTTTTATCACTGAAAATTGATACCTGTGTTGGGGGTACAAATGTATAATACCCATAAATGAGGATAGTACCCATTTACGAGGATCCTCCCCAACATGTATATCACAGTAACAGACTGATTTTCAACTTTTTTACCCCCGATGAGTTGGATATAGATAAAAAGAAGAATAATCTGAAAGCAGCATACAATATTTGAACAACAGCATAAAATAATCCAAGAATGCTTAAACAAATAACAATAGATAGGAGTAATGTACCAAAATGTTTATAGTCTATCATTGTCTATGTATGGTTCTGAAAAATAGAAAATGAGAAATTGATAGCAAGAGAAAAAAAGAAAAAGTACATGGATTTGCCAAAAAAGGCACTTTACAACAGAATGACAGGATATAAATTGAAAAAAAAAATTACATCCTACATGTGTTATATGTAAACAGTACAGTAGGAGAATAAGGAGGTGTGGTACGATTGCCAGTGAGGCAACTAATAATTTTGGCTCTTAAAATTTCTATCTATCTATTACAGTTTTTAAGATATTAGACAAAAATGCAAAAAAATGGCAATTGAAGTGCAATAACTTCAACAAAGATTCTTTTGATGATAACAGCCATTTGACTTATTTGTAGATCTTGTTTTGCTGATGATTTGTGTTATTCCAAGTTTCTATCTATCTATTCTAATTTTCAAGATATTACATAAAAACAGGTAAAAAAAATTGTTAAAAATTTTCATTAAAGGGGAAAAACTCCAATAATGAGTCGTCTGACGATTACGGCCTTGCAGTCTCTGTGTTTTAAATTTTGGAAAGTTTTGTAATAAACAATGCCATTATTACTTTTTCTTTTGAAACAAATGTTCTAAACCCTTTATTCAGTTAGGAACAAATTCTGTAATATTTGTTCCAGTAGAAATATTATTCCAGAATATTTTTCCATTTGGAACTTATATTATGAAGGAGCTTTTATTTCATGACAGTCATGACAGTACAACACATTTTACTGATAAACAAGACTTTGAGTTATAAATTCTGTATGTAAATATATAATAAGGGCCCCACCAAATGGCGGCCACCCTATAGTGATCAGTCCGTCCGTCCATCGGTCCGTAACAAATCGTGTTCGCTCTATATCTAGAGAACCATTATGATTTTAAAGTTTATACTTGGACATGTATATTAACCAACACCAGAGGGTGTGTCATAATGTATGTTCAACTTCCTAGGTCAAAAGGTCAAGGTCAAAAACTTTGGTTTTAGTTGACAACCCCATGTCCTATGGTAAAGATCGTGTCCGCTCTATATCTTGAGAACTGTTATGATTTCAAAGTTTATACTTGATATATATATTAACCAACACCAGAGGGTGTGTCATAATGTATGTACAACTTCCTAGGTCAAAGGTCAAGGTCAAAAACTTTGGTTTTAGTTGACAACCCCATGTCCTATGGTAAAGATCGTGTCCGCTCTATATCTTGAGAACTGTTATGATTTCAAAGTTTATACTTGATATGTATATAAACCAACACCAGAGGGTGTGTCATAAATTATGTACAACTTCCTAGGTCAAGGTCAAAAACTTTGGTTTCATTTGACAACCCCATGTCCAATGATAAAGATACAATTTTTTTACCACACATTATTCACAGCGGGGCCCACAGAGATGGCTCCCATCTCAATGATATCTAGTTACGCATATATGGTCCGAGTATTAACTTACACATATATATACATTTTTACTTCCAAGAGAAATAATCTGTATTTTTATATGTGAATTACACAGAACATTTAAACCATGATAAGGATATCTTTGAAAACAGTTTTAAAGAAATGTGGCTACAAATGAAAGTAAATGTTAACAAAAATGCATTTATATGTTCATCTTCGCTAGCCAAGGGTTACGATCCAGTCCCTTTCTCTCCACCCTTGGCGGATTAAGATAAAATTTCAGATCCACAGGGTAATGATTTCCATTGGTTGCAGTTGTAACTGGCTGCATCCAATCAAAAATAGCCTTGAAGATGATCATGTGTAAAATGTAGAAAATGTAAATAAACAATTTCCACGTGCAGATTGTGCAACAAGTCAATACCCCCAAAACATGGGACAATATTTAGTGACAATCTTAAAGTTCTTAATCAACTTATTGAAGTTTCTGGGTATGTTTCTCGCGCAGATGTTGGAATGCCAATGTTTATTTTCAGTTCCTGCTTCACAAAATTGTAAACACTAGACACACCCGTTTTTACAACTCCCTACTGAAGAGTGTCCAAGTGCTACCATTGGTCAAGAATGATGTAGTTGGAATGGGCGTGACTTTTGTCTACCGGTAGATAGCGCAGCATTGTTATCACAAATGTTGGCTTAATCTGCCAATGGTGAAGAGGAAGGGACTGGATCGAAATCCTTGGCTAGTGAAGATGTTATATGTTATATTGATTGATACAGTGTATAACTAGTTTACCTAGACATGCTAAAAAAAAAAGGAAAATAACCTTCAATGCAATGCTGGTGAAATTAAAGATAGGATTTTTTTTTTACAGTACCTCATAGCCAAATATATAGACAAATGATAGATATAGATTGATATGTTGATTCACACATATATGTACTTTTCAGAGTAAATCTGAACAGTTTTTGAAAATTGTTTTATATAATATTTAAATTTTTTTACTTTTCAGGTTGGAGAAAGAATAAGAGTAATACTTGATTGTGAAGATAATACATTAGCGTTTGAAAAGAATTATGAATTTTTAGGTAATTTGAAGTTGGACATTAAACATCTATTGGCTGTTTTTTCGTCCGTCGTCGTTAGCTTTTTACAAAAATCTTCTCCTCTGAAACCACTGGGCCAAATTTAACCAAACTTGGCCACAATCATCATTAGGGTATCTAGTTTAAAAAATGTGTCCGATGACCCCGCCAACCAACCAAGATCGCCGCCATGGCTAAAAATAGAACATAGGGGTAAAATGTAGATTTTAGCTTATATCTCTGAAACCAAAGCATTTAGAGTAAATCTGACATAGGGTAAAACTGATTACCAGGTCAAGGTCTATCTGCCCTGAAATTTTCAGACAAATCTGACATCCTGTTGTTGGGTTGCTGCCCCTGAATTGGTAGTTTTAAGGAAATTTTGCAGTTTTTGGTTATTATCTTGAATATTATTATAGATAGAGATAAACTGTAAACAGCAATAATGTTCTACAAATAAGTTGTCATGACCAAAATTGTCAGTCGACCCCTTTAGGAGTTATTGCCCTTAATAGTCAATTTTTAACAATTTTTTTGTAAATTTTTGTAATCTTTTACAAAAATCTTCTTCTCTGAAACTACTGGGACAAATTAATTTAACCATACTTGGCCATAATCATTATTAGGGTATCTAGTTTAAAAAATTTGTCCGATGACCCCGCCTTCCAACCATCATGGCCGACTTGGTTAAAAATAGAACATAGGGGTAAAATGCAGTTTTTGGTTTATATGTCTGAAACTTAAGCATTTAGAGCAAATCTGACAGGTGGCAAAAATATTCATCAGATTTAGATTTATCTGCCCTGAAATTTTCAGACGAATCCGACAACCCGTTGTTGGGTTGCTGCCCCTGAGTTAGTAATTTTACAAAAATTTTGCAGTTTTTTGTTATTATCTTAGATATCATTATAGTATCTAATATCTAATACTATTAATTATGATTTTAACCTTATTTTACATGATTTCCAAAGCATCAGTAAATACAGGTGAGCGACACAGGCTCTTGAGAGCATCTAGTTTTTATTAATCCATCAAACATTATACATAACTTTTAAAAGTACCCTCTAATCTGTTGGCGTATATTGCTATACTTCTGTCTGTCCCAATACATTTTTTTGTAGCATTTTATTATCAGAAACTACAAGTCCGAGCTTCCTCAAATTAAGCTTCATGTGAGCATGTTTCACTGTGTGATATGTCTTAATATCAATCGCTCATTGACTCTCTGTTAAGCAAGTAGTTATAGTGGTAGAATGATTAGTGAGCACTTCATCTTGTTAATTATCGTAAGGTATTGCTAACTAAAGCTGTAAGCAATAAGATAGAATAAATCCACACCTTATGTCATGATTAAGAGCGGACACACAACATCCATATACATGTAGAACTGAAATGCTCAACCTTGAACAAATTTCCTAGAAACTAGACACATTCTATTAGTGCTATTTAAAAGAAATGATAACTGCTGAAGAAAAATGTCAGTGAAACTTGCAAGTAACAACAACTTCAGTGTTTGGAATGAGCAGTGTTGATTTCATCAGCTGTCTATCATGTAAATTCCTCTTATTAAACCCTGGTATATTGAATGTAATATAATTCTATTTATTTGTGCTTGTCCTTCTCAATCTGTCTGCATTTTCAATCCACAACTCATCGTTCACGATTTGCTTGATTTCAATGTTTCTTTTAAAAAGAATCCTACATGTAAGTGCCTAATGGCATTGTGCACCTCTGATTATATTTTTGTTTGAAATGGGTTTCCCATTACAAAACACTAACTTTGCCATATCTACAAAAGGGGTTTGACTATTCTTTTTTATTAACTGACTGGATTTCAACAAATGTTTTGAGAATCTGTGGTATCTTATCCCATTGTGCATCTATTGAATCTTGGTTTTATATCATCTTTGGGATTTGCTATTGTCATGATTGTAAAGCTCAGACTTTTCAATATTTAAACACATGGTTGTGGCAAGATGTGTTTAACTCAAATCCTAACTGACCAGGATTACCAGTTTTCCTGCCAAAGGTTGTGGTCCCCTTCAGGTACTCCTGCTTCCTTCTCTAATAAAAAATGATTGCCTTTATATAGTTAACAGTGCTGAAAGTTGTGTTTAACATTAACAGTCAATTACTCTAAACCAATGGGAAAAGTAGGGGATGTATTTATGAAATCTTCCTACAACTTCTTTAGTTGAAATTAGAATACATCTGACCACTTACGGAAGTTTGCATGAGCTATTTGGTGTTTGGTATCTATTGATAAGTGTCACCTACAAAAACAACAGCAATTTAATTTTCTTAAGTATTCAATTATTGAAATCATACTACACATTTTGCCATTATTGTTTTAAAAAAAACTAAATTTCTTATGTTAATCACACCCATTTTCTTTATTTTCAGATAGTCAATTATTATACATAACTGATTCTTTTTTTCAGGTGTAGCTTTCCGTGGACTGCCAGACACACCATTATACCCCTCAGTATCTGCAGTTTATGGAAATACAGAAATTTCTATGGTTTACTTAGGACCACCCTTAGATGGATGATTTTATGTTTCATTTTATAGGCTTTATATAAATTTGTTAATTGATATCTTTATGGTTGTACTGTTAAAATATTCCATCCAGAATATGTGTGTCACTGAATACAAAGAGAATTAAACCTACAGTTGTACAGTATAATCTTTTAGCATTAACATGTTGGTGGCAAATTGAAAAACAACTTCATTTTCTAAAATGATTCAAGTTGATTTTCATAAATAAAATATGTTGTCATTTAGTATAACTGAATGATTGGTTCATCTATTATAGCATGTGTACATTATGTATGTGTGCTACTCTTTCAACTGGATGGAAATTTTAATGGACAATTCTAGTTACAAAAATGTTATGTAATTCATTTGCAGTGATCAATAAGAAAATGCACTATTTTACAGGGAACTACTTGCAAGCATTTTCTTCCTATAGCTTAAATGAATTGAGAAAATTAATTATTTATACAATATCTTTCCCATTTTATCATGAATGATCATTTCATCAGATACTCCAACCATACATTTGGAAGTAAAGAGTCAGTCATTATATTAATGATTTTTTGTTTATTGCATTGCAACCTTTCCAAGATTTTTTATCTGGATATTCTGCATTCTATTATTTAAACAACCAAAACCTAATGTATTTGGATATATGTGTATATGTATGTGTGATCATGGGTTGGACAGAAAGATTTTCACAAGTATTTATTCATCTTCCATATTTCTTTATTTTTTTTTTTAAAAGAAATTGTTTTAGGAATGAAAAACAAGTGATTTGCACATAGCATAAGGGTGGTATGTTATGGTGTATTGAATCTGCCCTCAATATTTGATCTTAAAGAAGCAAGATGCATGGTTGATCATTAATTAGGGGGTCAATATTTAGATATATTTCCTCTGGCTAGGTTCAAGCTGGATAGAGAAGGGTGCTGCCTTGATTTCTGTTCTGGAAAAATTAGTAAATAAGAAGTAATTTTTGGAAAAATCGCAATTTTCACTTAAAAAAAAACAAACTAGTGTTAAGAATCCATTCTGAAAAATTGGGTTTATTTCTATGATTATCAAATCCTGCATTGGATAACTTAAAGGTACATTTAAAAATTCCACAGTGACTTAGATTATTATTTGTGAGAAAGTATTTAAAACACTGTAATGACAATTAGTTTTACTTGTAAATGAAGTGCTAATAAACTTAACACATAGTGCTGCATGAATTTGACAATTTGTAAGTTTAGCTATGAATCCCTAAAACAAAGATGTTGAATGTTGATCACAGTTCTTACTGGTCAGATGTGATGTACTTTTTTTGGATAGTCTGATTAATATTTTTCTGTAATGTTTACATTATTGTTAAGAAATAATGCATAATACTATTGTAGCTAGTCCATTATGGTTGGAAATAGTTTTACTGGTAAACGACATAAGATTTGTGTACCAGTAATAAACATTAAATGATCTTGAAATAATCAGAAGAAAAAGATTTATAGAATATTTTGATAGAAAAGCATTTAAAACACATGTGATATGTTGTCTTTTTCTTATGATATTTGGTGAGCACAAATTATGGACTTGTGATTAAGTAAACTATTAAGTCAGAATGCGAAATTAACTTATTTCTCATTCCATAACACTTTTTACACTACAATATTTTTGTTTAATTTAAATATACTGTGGATTCATTTATTTTTGTGGATACCAATTTTTATAGATCGAGGAAAAATTGTATTTTTGTGGATATTTGATTAAGTGGTTTTGCAAAAGTTTGTACACAAACCTATAGACGATTTATACTGTGTCGAACATTAGAATTTGTGGTTTCCCTTTACCCAAAAAATTAACAAAAATTGGTATCCCACATATAACAATGCATCCACAGTATACAGATTGATGAGAGTACAATGCAATTTCTTTTTAAAATAGTTGCAAATCCTTTGTGATTCAAATAATCTTACCTAAAAAAATGTTCATCTTCATCCTTTTTTCAAAACAACTATACAAATCTGAGATCGAGATAAATAAGACTGTTTACATTTGTCAGCCATCTTTTTAAATGGGTTTGGTAAACCATAATTAAATTACTGAACAAAATTTTATTGGCAGCTTCATTACTTCAATGTATTTTGTAATTGTAACACAAATACACTTGTATGTTATTTAACAAGGCCATTATGAATGTGAACATTGAGTTCTTACTGTATCTGTTTTAAACACAAGTGTTTAGTAATTTATTAATTATGGAATTAAATGTTCGTATTAGACAAAAAGTGTGTATCATGAAATTTGAATGTGATATGCAAGAATTAAGAATCATGAGAACAAACATTTTGAGATCATAATTGTTTTTGTTTTTATATACTATATAACAAGTTATCATTCAAATCATGAAATGTTGAATTTTTATAACTTTGAAACCATGAATTATGAGGAATATGCATAAACATTAATAGACATCGTATAGGCTTTTAAAGAGTTTATATTTTGCAACGGATTCAATATTCAGGTTTAGTAAGCAATTACATTTTTTGTAGTATATTACAAAGGTGATCCATTAGGATTTTAGTGTTGTTGAATCAATTAATTTTGTTGGTATCAATTTTTGTGATTCGAGAAATATTTGCTATTTCGATTTCCTACCAAAGGTCTTCATCAACCAATAAAAACTGACCGCCATGAAATAGCTGGATAGTGCTGAAAGTGTCGTTAAACATCTACAATGCTATTTCGGTGTACCTAATTTATAGGTATCACCATTTGCTGCTATCAAAGTAATTACGTGTAGTATTTTGTTGAATACTTTAAATTCACCCCTTATTCATGACACTTCCAAGTTTATGGATTTAAATGTGCACACCACACTCACCAGATTATCACTAGTAGTTAGGAATATGAACATTTATGATTTGTACTGTGTTTGCACATTATGTAATAGCCATATGCCTTCACTATTTATAGATTTTTACTCGAGTCATTACAAAGGAGAGATAGGCATAGTTTTAGAAATATTGGAATTTTTTTTCCAATGTAACAGTATAAATCATGCAAGTGTTTATCATTTTTTCTTTATGAACTTATGAATTTTTTGGTATATGATATTAATAAAAGGAGATGTGATGTGGATGTCAATGAGACAACAACCTAATAAATCAGAAAAACTGAACAGAAAAGACTTATTTTGTGTGAATTATTTTTACTCAGTGTATACCTTTTTATGGATTTCATAGGGAAAGGAATATGATTACACAAAGCAATTCATGGATGTAACTTTGTTAATAACTTAATAGCAATCCAATTGTTAATAACTTAATAGCGATCCAATATAATCTTAAGAATAATTTTTTTTTCTAAAGCACAAAAATTGATACCTACATAGTTGAATCAATATAAAAAAAATTTAGTAATAGTTATTAATTAAAATTAGATAATTTTAAGCATTGTCAAAAAAATACAGCCATTGGAACATTTTTGGGGAAAACCCTTGCACATTTGTACTCCCAGGGATTTTCATTTTCATTCATTCACTGTTAAAATAGGGATAAACATCAAAGTTAGATGAAGATTTCTTAACTCTTTTTGTTTGAATGACAGCATATCTATTTAACCTCACATTTGAATTGTAAATCATTTATTGTCTTTTTGTGCATTTGATTTGAATCAATATACACAGAACAGGTCCTTAGAATTTTATATGTGTTTGTGAATGAAATTGAAGCCATTGTATATTCATAGGAATGTCTGTATCTTTTATTGTACATTAAAAAGTTGTGTTATCATCTTGGATTTGTGCCAACATTTTCATGATATTTTTGTGTGTATATAATAGATTGAATATACCTGATCTTGTTGATTTTATCAATTAAACTAGAAGCTCTAAAGAGCCTGTGTCGCTCACCTGCATCTTCAACAATGGCTACTTTTTAAGTAAAAATCACCATTAAAGGGCAATAACTCCAATAAGGAGTCGACTGAAGATTTTGGCTATTATGGCTTAATTGTAGATCTTGTCTTGCTGATCATAAGTGCTTTTTAAAGTTTCTATCTATCTATTACAGTTTTCAAGATAATAAGAAAAAGCATGAAAAATCAAAATTAAAGGGCAATAACTTTAATAAGGAGTCGACTAACAATTTTGGTTTTTTGTTGACTTATTTGTAGATCTTGTCCTAATGATTATTTTTGCTGTTAAAAGTTTCTATCTATCTATTATAGTTTTTGTCGAGCCTGCGACTTTTGTCGCAGAAAGCTCGACATAGGGATAGTGATCCTGCGGCGGCTTAGCGAACTTCTTAAAAGCTTTATATTTTAGAAGGTGGAAGGTCTGGATGCTTCATACTTTGGGAAGCCTCATGTTACGAAGTTTCCGTCAGTCACATGTCCAATGTCCTTGACCTCATTTTCATGGTTCAGTGACTACTTGAAAAAAAAGTTAAGATTTTTTGTAATGTTAAATTCTCTCTTATTATAAGTAAAAGGATAACTATATTTGGTATGTGCGTAACTTGCAAGGTCCTCATGCCCGTCAGACAGTTTTCACTTGACCTCAACCTCATTTCATGGATCAGTGAACAAGGTTTAGTTTTGGTGGTCAAGTCCATATCTCAGATACTATAAGCAATAGGTCTAGTATATTCGGTATATGGAAGGACTGTAAGGTGTACATGTCCAACTGGCAGGTGTCATCTGACCTTGACCTCATTTTCATGGTTCAGTGGTTATAGTTAAGTTTTTGTGTTTTGGTCTGTTTTTCTTATACTGTATGCAATAGGTCTACTATATTTGGTGTATGGAAATATTTTATGATCTATTTGTCAGTCACACAGTTTTTTTTTTGCCTTGACCTTATTTTCAAGGTTCATTGCTCAGTGTTAAGTTTTTGTGTTTTGGTCTGTTTTTCTTAAACTATAAGCAATAGGTCAACTATATTTGTTGTATGGAAGAATTGTTAGCTGTACATGCCTGCCTAGCATGGTTCATCTGACCTTGACCTCATTTTCATGGTTCATTGGTCAATGTTTAGTTTACTTGGTTAATGTTTAGTTTATGTGACAGTTGTAATAAAGCTTTATATTTAGGACTATCAACATAATATCAATGATTAGTAAAGAAGGCGAGACATTTCAGCGTGTGCACTCTTGTTAAGATATGAGGCCAAAACCCCCAAAAATGGTAAAAATCCTCATTATAGGGCAATAACTCTAATAAGGAGTCCACTGAAGATTTCGGCCATGTTGACTTGTTTGTAGATCTTGTCTTGCTGATCATTTTTGCTATTTAATTTTCTGTCTATCTATTATAATTTTCAAAATAATAGGCAGAAACTTTAAAAAAATGGTAAAATTCATCGTTTAAGGGCAATAACTCCTATAAGAAGTTGTCTCGACAGTTTTGACGTCAATGAACAATAGGTAGAGTTCAACATACTAAACATTTTTGTCTCTGTTAGATTTTCTCTATCTATAGCGGTTTTTGTCTCTCCTGGACCGAGTCAAAAAGCGAGACATAGGTATGCTGTTTCCGGCGGCGGCGTCAACAATGTATTAGTTTGTGATTAGGTCTAGCTTATGGTGAACCACTAGTGATAGGTCAGTGATATTTGGTATGCAGTTGTATAAGTATTGGCACATCTCATTTCCACAGGGTTATTATTTGGCCCTGCCTCCTCAGTCATGGTCTATTGACTTTGAAACTTTTGCTTAGTTTACATGTATTAGTTTGTGATTAGGTCAGTTTATGAGGAACCACTAGTTGTGGGTCAATGATGTTTGATATGCAGTTGTATAAGCATTGGCATATCTCATTTCCATGGAGATTATTTGGCTCCGCCCCCCTCAGTCATGGTCTATTGACTTCGGACTTTTACTTAGTTTACATGTATTAGTTTATGATTAGATCAGTTTAAGATGAACCGTTTATGTTAAGTCAATGATATTTGGTATGCAAATTTATTGGCATTTGCAAGTCTCGTTTTCAGGGAGATTATTTAGCCCAAACCCCCTCATCCATAGTTTACAAGTTAATGTTTGTGTTTAGGTTTGTTTAAAGGGAACAACTTATAATAAGTCAATGGTATTTGGTATGCAGTTTTATTAGCAATAGCACATCTCATTTCCATGAAGATTGTTTAGCCATGTATTCATGGTTCATTGACTTTGAATATTTGCATAACTTACATGTTAAAGTATTGCTATTTTAATTTCAACATTTGCATTATCAAAGTTACAGACATATCTCTATGTTAACAGTTTATCTATATAATTGGCAAAACTTGTATTTTACCCTGATGTTCTATTGTTAGCCATGTCGGCAATCTTGGTTGGCCAGCAGGGTCATCGGACACATTATTTTAACAAGATATCCCAATGATGATTGTGGCCAAGTTTGGTTAAATTTGGCACTGTAGTTTCAGAGGAGAAGATTTTTGTAAAAGTTAGACTACATTGGACGCCAAGTGATGAGAAAGCTCACTTGGCATTTTAGGCCAGGTAAGCTAAAAATGAACATGGGTAGGATGTTCATATGAAGAAATTTTATAAAATACCAAGAAATGTAGGGTCTGATAAAAAATACTCAAAACAACAAGTAAAGATGGAATTGAAAAGCCATACTAATATGTAAATGTTAATATGTTGGGTTAACATCAATCTGACAGCAGCCCAATCCAAGCAGAAGTGGAAAAGAAAAGGTATTAAAAAGTTTTGGGTACAAAATGGCTCTCTGTTAACTAAAAATTTCCATACCTTTAGTTTTGTAATTATACCCCCTGCTTTTTGAAGCAGTGGTATAAAGTGATAGTGGTGTCAGTCCTTTCATCCCACCTCTGTATCCGCTTCTGTGTATGAAGCTCTTTGCAGAATTCTGTGGAATTATCTTACTCTTAAAAGATTTACTTTTGTAATTCTTTTTTCATTCTTCCATCAGAATGATTTGGGGATATCCTGACTAAATAGTACACATTGAGATGTGATTCTCCAAAACCCCCATCAGAGTTTAATGTAAAAACTGAATCTTCACTGCATATTGGCAGACAACTATTTTGTTTTTCGTACAAATTATTCTTGGGGTTTCACTTAGCAAATCATGGATTTTTTAAGAGACGGGGGTATACACTTTAGGAGCTTTGCTTGTAGTGCCTAAAATTTCAATTTTATAAGTCATCACCTGTACTGAATTTGATATGCATAAGAGCATTGTAGTGTCAGAGATGTAGAAATGTAATAAAATGATCCATAAAAATGAGGTCAAGGTCAGAAAAACCCAGCCAGAGAGACATGTACATCTTAGAAGCATTCCATACACCAAATATAGTTGACCTATTGCTTATAGTATACAAAAAAAGTGATCAAACCCTGAAAACAAAATATTGACCAATGAACGATGAAAATGGGGTCAAGGTCAGATGAACCCTGACAGACAGATGTTCACCTTACACTATTATTCTATTCACCAAATATAGTTGACCTATTGCATATAGTATCTTAGAAGAGGAAATAACAACTGAAACTTAACATTGCCAATGAACCATGATATGAGGTCAAGGACAGATGATACCTGCCAGACAGACATATACACATTACAATCATTCCATGTACCAAATATAGTTGACCTATTGCTTAAAGTATAAGAAAACCAGACCAAAACACAAAAACTTAACATTAACCAAAGAACCATGAAAATGAGTTCAAGGTCAAATGAAACCTGCCATACACTAAATATAGTTGACCTTGTACTTAAAGTATTAGTAAAACAGATCAAAACACAAAAACTTAATATTGACCAATGAACCGGGAAATGAGGTAAAGGTCAAATGAAATCTGCCAAACTGACATGTACACCTTGCAATCATTCCATAAACCAAATATAGTTGACCTACTCCTTACAGATACAGACCTAATCACTGATCTATGAAATGAGGTTGAGGTCAGGTGAAACCCTGTCTGACAGACATGTAGACCTTGCAAGGAACCCATAAACCAAATATAGTAATCCTATTACTCATAATGAGTGAGAACTCCCATGACAAAAAAATAAACTTTTTTCAAGCATTGGCTGAACCTTGAGAATTAGGTCAAGGACAATGGACATATGTCCTGCAGAAACTTCGTCACATAAGGCTGAAGAGTCAGTTCTTCTACCCTCTGTAATATATAGCTTAATACTAGTACAAATAGTTTACGCTGCATTCTATGACTTCCATCGCAGGTGAGACATAAACGATCAGAAGACAAACAACAGTATACAAAACACATCATAAAAAACTAAAGATTGAGCAACATCAACCCCATCAAAATCTGGATGTGGTCTCATGTGCTCCGAAAGGGTAGCAGACCGTGCCAGATATGCGGCATGCATTGTGTTACTCATGCAAGTACAAACTCTGTGACGTCTCATTCGAGGAAAAGAGGATGGGATTATGGTTATGACAATAGGTACATACATATCTGTCATCTGTGAAGCAGATATTCCATAAGGGAACGACCATTTAACTTCAACAGGGGGGGGGGTTATAGTTTTTTCCTGAAAAAATATTCTGATCCCCAATTTGATGAAAAAAAATATTGTGGTCAAGCAGATGACAAAAGTTTTCTGACTCAGACAAAAAACCATAACCCCCCCCCCCACTTGAAGCTAAATGGTTGCTCCCTAACAGTCAACCAACTCATGAAGTCTGTCTCATAAGAATAAAAGGACAAGTTGGCAAAAGAGGACCACAGTTGGTTTCCATATGAATGAATATTGTTTGTTAAAAACGACATTCTTTAAACGTAACAAATATGTTGCCAACTATTTTTGTCAAATATCTTTAGTTTATGACATCCTTGCAAGGTGTCCTTCAGGCTGGGCTCACTTGACCATTACCAAATTGAATGATTCAATAATTGTAACATTTTTATGATTAGTTCAGTTTCTTCTATACACATCTGTCAGACTTCTGACCATGACATCAATTATGATTCATTGAACAATATTAGGTTTTCATGATTAGATTATCTAAGTATTTGCTGAACTATATTTTCTCTCTAAGACTTTTGTCAGGTGTATATTTTTGCCTGCAGGGTTCACACTGACCTATTTTTCAATTTCATGATTCTTTTATCAATGGAAAGTTTTAGTGGTTAAGTCAATTTACAAAATACTTTAAGGTTAAAAGTCTATAGAATCATTGTAAGATACACATGTCCATCTGACATGGTTCACCTAACCTTGATCTCATTTTCAAGGTTCACTGAATTACCTTAGATATGTATTAGGACCCTGCTTACTGATAAGCTTGAAAAAAATAATAATGACCTCATTGGTTCATTAGTCAATACTTAGTTTTCCTGGTTAAGTCTGTTTCTTAGATGTTATAAGCAATATGTCAACTATATATGGTGCATGGAATGATTGTAAGGTGTACACGTCTGTCTGGTATGTTTCATTTGACCTTGACCTCATTTTCATGGTTCATTAGAAAATGTTAAGTTTTCATGGTTTGAATTGTTTCTTTGATATCATAAGCAAAAGGTCAACTATTTTTGGTGTTTGAATAATTGTAAGGTATACATTTTTGTCTTCCAGGCTTATCTTACTCGACCTTATTGTCAGCGATCATTCACAACATATGGTAAGTTTATGTGATACTTGTAATAAAACCTTTATTTTTCAGACTTTCAACATTAAATCAATCATGGTTTGTGAAGCAGATGAGACATTTCAGTGATCTATTATACTCAATTTTCATTAGATAGGGTTCATCTGACCTCAACCTCATTTCAAGGATCAGTGATCAAGGTTAAGTTACCTGATTATGTCTGTTTCTCAAATACTGTATGTACTAGGTCAACCTTATTTGGTGTGTGGAATGATTGTAACATGTACATGTCAGTCTGGCATGTTTCATTTGACATTGACCTCATTTACAGGGTTCATTGGTCAATGTAAAGTTTTTTGTGTTTTGGTATGTTTTTCTAATACAATAAGCAATAGGTCAACTATATTTAGTGTATGGAATGATTGTAAGGTGTACATGTCAGTCTGGCAGGTTTCATCTGACCGTGACCCCATTTTCATGGTTCATTGGTCAATGTTGAGTTTATGTGTTTTGGTCTGTTTATCAAATTCTTTAAGCAAAAGGGTGCTTGATAATATGCAACTGAAATATATGGGAATTTCCTTGTTTAAAAATGGACACACTGTCAAAACCCTACCAGGACAGACATGTATACCTTACAATCATTCCATCACACCAAATACAGTTGACCTTTTGCTTATAGTATCTGATAAACTGACAAAACAACATGTACACCATGCAATCATTTCATACACCAAGTATAGTATGACACATTGCTTATAGAACTGAGAAACAGACATTATCATGAAAACTTATCATTGACCAATGAACCATAAAAATAAGGTCAAGGTCAGATGAATCCTTCCAGACAGACATACAGGTTGCAATCATTCTATACACCAAATATTGTTGACCTATTGTTTATTGTATCTGAAGAATAGATCAAATCAGAAAAAATTAACATTGACCAATGAACCATAAAAATGAGGTCAAGGTCAGATGAAACCTGCCAGTCAGACCTGTACCCATTTCGATCATTCCATACATAAATATAGTTGACCTGTTTCTTATAGTATCTGAGATACAAACTTGACCATGTAAACTTAACCTTGATCACTGATCCATGAAATGAGGTCAATGTCAGGTGAATCCTGTCTGACAGACATATAGACCTTGCAAGGAACCCATATACCAAATATAGTTATCCTATACTCATAATAAGTGAGATATTCACATAACAAAAAAAAGCAAAAAAAATTTACAAGCAGTTGCTGAACAATGAAAATGAGGTCAAGGACAATGGACATAAGCCAGAGAGAGACTTCGCTACATAAGACATCTGCATTCAAGGTATGGAGCATCCCAGTCTTCTACCCTCTAAAATATAAAACTTTAAACAAATAGTTTACGCCGTAACTGCCGCAAGATTGTAATCCCTATGTTTTGCATGTCTGTCCGATTTCAGATCAAACTTTTACCAATATGGTTTCCTTTCATCTTCCATATCTCACAGATAACAATTTCTTGATATTATGCAACTGAAATGTATGGGAATTACCCTGTTTCAAAATAGACACACTGTCAAACTTAACTTTCATGAAAAATCACACTTTTCATTGGTGACTATAGTGAGTAACAAATAGGCATCCAAAAACATTTCAGCATTCTTCAAATTTGATGCTGTATCACAATTGACAAACTTGCCATATCATATCCCAAATAGTTTAAACAGAGAGGCAAAAGATACCAAAGGAACATTCAAACTCATAAGTCCAGTATAAACTGACAATGCCAGGGCAAAAAAAAGAAAAAGACCAACAGACAAACAACAGTACATCTAGAAAACTAAAGACTGAGCAACACGAACCACACCAAAAACTAGGGGTAAGCAGATCCTGCTCCACATGTGGCACCCATTGTTTAACAGTACTAAGGAAAGAAAAAAACTGAGATATTTCACACAGGAACTTGGGTATATCAAAGTTCAATTTGTCACAAAAGAAATACCATGGTCTGTAAGATATACTGAGGAAAACATACATGAAAGGAACATAGCTTAAATTGCTGTTCCTGATCTTTAAAATTGTGATAGTTTAAATAAGGATGTTCCTATTTAATGTTAAAAAGTATACTCTCTAATATTCATAATAACCACTACAAATGTTCTTCAATGTACATGTATATACACAGAAGTTATCCATAAATTACATAAATTACTGACAAGGACTTCCTACAAATACTTCCATTCATTACTGGACAATCCATTTTTATTCCTGGAATTTCATAACACCATCAAATATCAAAACAATCACAGGACACTATGCAGATATTTGTATGACGACTCACAATCAAAATTAGGGTAAATATGGGCAATGAAAATTTATATAGTGGTGTTGAAAGAAAAGTACCAAGTGACTGTCTAAAATGGTTCTTTCTTTAATTTTAACTTTTAAAAACGAAATCTATGTTTATTTCTATAGCTTTTTACTGTGGAGTGATTTATTTTCGTTGGTACCAATTTTTAGTGGATTGAGGAAAAATTGTATTTTCATTGTTTTGTCAAAGTCTGCATAAAAGCATGTGGAAAATTTGTTATTTGCAATCATTTATATTAGTGGTTCACCTTTAACCATGAAATCGCCGAAAATTGGTATACCACGAATAATAATGAATTCACAGTAACTGTTTTATTTGGAATTAAATGTTATCAGTAGCCCAAAGAGTCAGTTATAGTCAGTATGCTGAGTAGTCTGCTCCTGATCAACAGATGGAGTAAAATTGATAATCATTTATTATTTCAAAGGTTTATAAATAATAAACTATCACAGAGATATGTCTCACCTTTTTGTAATTTTGATAATGCAAATGTTGAAATTAAAATAGCAATACTTTAACATGTAAGTTATGCAAATATTCAAAGTCAATGAACCATGACTGAAGGTACATGGCTAAACAATCTCCATGGAAATGAGATGTGCCAATGCTAATAAAACTGCATACCAAACACCATTGACTTATCATAAGTCGTTTCCTTTAAACAAACCTAAACACAAACATTAACTTGTAAACTATGTAAAAGTTTCTAAGTCAATGAACCATGATGAGGGGGTTTGGGCTATATAATCTCCATGGAAACCATACTTGCAAATGCCAATAAATTTGCAGACCAAATGTCATTGACTAAACATTAGCAGTTCATCTTAAACTGATCTAATTACAAACTAATACATGTAAACTAAGCAAAAGTTTCAAAGTCTATAGACCATGACTAAGGGGGCAGGGCCAAATAGTCTCCATGGAAATGAGATGTGCTAATGCTTATACAACTGAATACCAATTAACATTGGCCTACCACAAATTGTTCCGCTTGAACTGACCTAATCACAAACAAATACATGTAAACTAAGCAAAATTTTCAGTCAATAGACCATGACTAAGGAGGCGGAGCCAAATAATCTCCATGGAAGTGAGATATGCCAATGCTAATATAACTGCATACCAAATATCATTGACCTACCACTTGTGGTGCACCATAAACTAGACCTAATCACAAACTAATACATTGCTGATGATGCCGCTGCCGCTGGAAACAGCATACCTATGTCTCGCATTTTTAATCCGTCAAGGCGAGACAAAAACTGAAGGCTGGCTAAGAATAATTTCAAAATTTACTGGTAATGCAGTTTATTAACTTTAATATCAGTAATAATTATCAATCTTGTATTATTTTCTCTTACCATTCATAGATCATGCAATTCACAGTTAAATACCATTAAATTATTATAAAATTTCTTACATTTATCCTTCACCCTGTTTCATTTCCTACTTCAAGTTTCTATAACATATTAAATTCTTGCCTTTTATTGTGCAAGCAGAATAAATTACTAACAAACAGTCAAATACATTCAACAACTGTCATCTTTTGATTCACCTTATATTCAGTATTTTCCATGGGCACCAATTTTTGTGGATTGATGAAAATTGTATTTTCGTGAAGAAAGTTTTCATGATTTAGGGAAATTTTGAACACCAACCTTTATTACATTTGTATTTTGATGATCATTGATATTTGGGGTTCACCATCATCCACAAAAGCCATGAAAAGCCCAGGAATAATAATGAATCAACAGTCAACTGTTGATAATCACTAATAAACAAGAAATTGCTTCTAAGGGTACAATAACATGTATAATAATCATATACCCTAAAAAGTGATCAATGTGACAATGTCCAATTCACAGTTACAAGTGACGCATACGGAGCTTACAATGACAAATCCACAGATAACCGGTAATGCATAAGGCGCATGTGTCATTTTTTTCAAGGACCTGCCTTGTATGTTTCTTTTTATTTTCCATTATTCACCAGAGCTCTTGTCATCAGAGGACTTGTCATTTTTACCAGAATCTGATGGTTTTGTACCAACCATTCTTCTCTCGGCAGCTTTTCTGGGGTCATATATTGCACGTTCAGGCCTCTCCTAGAATAGAAAATGTTGAGTTGTTTATAATGCATTAAATAATTCTATAATCTATACTCTATAGAAAAACTTATAGAGTAATGATGTTCATACAGAAGATCACAAATAAACAAATAAACAGACATCCATTCAACTTTTATTGCGTGCACTTATTATTACGATTGTTGAACAATGGGGAATAAAGAAAAGAAACTAAAGGGAGGTTATTTTAATAGATATAAAACAGTCACCAAAGTTTAATGAAAACTGTTCAAAACACTTTTGAGTTATTGTCCACAAACTGGAAAATCTCCCCTTTTTTATGAATAAAATTCCATAACTCGAAAACATAAAACCTTAAATTTATAAAAATCGAAAGGGAGCTTACATCAATTGATATATCAACAATTCACCAAAGTTTCACAAAAACCGCTCAAAGCATTTTTGAGTTATTGTCCGAAAACTGGAAAATCCCCCTTTTTTAATAAATAAAACCCCATAACTCGGAAAAGTCAAATCTAACATTTATAAAAATTGAAAGGGAGCTCAGGTCAATAGATATAAACAATTCACCAAAGTTTCATGCAAATTGGTTAAAGTGTTTTGAGTTAGTGTACCACATGTTGACGACAGACAGACACCGGTATACCATAATACTTCCCATAAATGGGTGTATAAAAATGAGAGAATAAATATTGTGATTTCATGAAATGCTATATATGAGCCAGGTATTTTTAATTTATTGGTTCACAGATTTTTGGTATGAAAGATTCAGGTTGGTCGGTCAGAAAAAGATTTATGATATCTTACAAATCTGACAATTTGTAATGACTGAATTACAAATCCAGCACATCAGCAAATTATAATTATATCAAAACTTTATCATCACTTTTTTTTTGTTACAAAGATTGTGGGCAGATTTAAACAAATGTTCTTAAAATTAAATTTAATTGTAAAGACTGTTATTACATTGTTAGATATTATTTCTCTAAAGGAAAATTTTTCCTGTTTAAATAAGAATTAAAATAAGGTAACCAGTATCTTCCTTGATAAATTTTCATGATTGACTGCATTATACTACTAACACTTTCATCAAATAACTGAAGTGAAACATTTTACCAATTGATCAATTAGGTTGATGAAACACAAGAGTGCACATGCTGAAATTTCTCGCCTGCTTTAATAGCCATGATTGATTTTAAGTTGATAGGTCCTAACGATAAAGTTTTACTACAAGGATCACATAAACTTAGTATCATCAATGATCCATAAAATGAAGTCAAAGTCAGATTAACCAAGCAAGACAGACATGTACACCTTACAATCATTCCATACACCAAATATAGTTTATAGTATACAAGAAACAGACCAAACCATGAAAACATAAAATTTACCTATGAACCATTAAAAATGAGGTCAAGGTCAGATGAAGCGTGCCAGTCAGACATGTACACCTTTCAATCATGCCATGCATCAATTGAAGTTGACATATTGCTTATATATAGTATCTAAGGAATTTAATAAGGAAAACTTATCATTGAGCAATGAACCATGAAAATGAGGTCAAGGTCAGATGAAATAGGCCAGACAGACATATACACCATACAATCATTCTATGCAACACATATAGTTGGGCAATACTTAACATTGACCAATGAACTGCCAAAATGAGTCTGTAGTTCAGTGGTTGTCGTTGTTCATGTCGGTCATATTTGTTTTTCGTAAATTTTGTTATAAATTTGGCCGTTAGTTTTCTCAATTGAATTGTTTCATATTTTTTATGTCAAGGCTTTTTATAGCCGACTATACGGTATGGTTTTTTTTCATTGTTGAAGGCCGTATGGTTGCCTATAATTGCTTACATCCACTTCAGTTGAACTTTGGTGGATAGTTGTCTCATTGGCAATCATATCTCATCTCCTTATTTTTATATTAAGGTCAGATGAAACCTGCCAGACTGACATGTACACCTTACAATCATTCCATACACCAAATATAGGTGACCTACTGCTTACAGTATCTGAGAAACAGACCTAATCATATACCTTTAGCCTTGATCACTCATCCACGAAATGCGGTGACATGTAGGCCTTGCAAGGAACCCATATACCAACTATAGTTATCCTAATATTCTTAATGAGTGAGAAATTCAAATAACATAAATAAAAACATAACTTTTTTTCAAGCAGTCACTGAACCATAAAAATGAGGTCAAGGACAACGGACATATGACAGACAGAAACTTTGTAACATAAGGCATCTGTATATAAAGTATGAAGCCTCCAGGTCTTCTTCCCTCTTTAATATAAAGCTTAATACAACTAGTTTATACCACCGAAGTCGCATTGTAATCCCTATGTCTCGCAGGAGAGACAAAAACTGCAATTTGGGACAAAAAAATATTATCTAACTTAAAGCATAAATAACTCACAGTCAAGTAAAAAATAAAATCCAATCAATTAACCAATCACATGCATATTACTACCTTTCTTTTCTTCTTTTTATCATCATCAAAGCTATCTGAAGATTTTAACTTGTTCTCTCCGTTACTACTATCTTTTTCCTTTGATTGGTCACTTTTCTTTTCCTTTTCAACATCATTTTTAGAACTATCTTTTTTCACTGCCTTTTCTTTTACATCACTAGCTTTTCTATCTAAAGATTTTTCTGAGGCTTTAGCATCACCCTTTAAATAACAATTTTTAGATTTCAACTGTTAAAACGTGAATACAATATCTTAATTAAAGCTTTAAACAGTTAATTTAAATTTTAGTTCATTTATATGTTTTGGAGTTGAGTGTGACGTTCATTTTCACTGAAATAGTACACATTTTTGTTTAGGGGCCAGCTGAAGCCCACCTCCGGGTGTGGGATTTTCTCGCTGTGTTGAAGACCCACTGGTGGCCTTCGGCTGTTTTCTGCTCTTTGGTCGGGTTGTTGTCTCTTTGACACATTCCCATTCTCAATTTTATATTTTTCTGTATTTGATTATGGCAAGTATCAACATTTTAGTGTATAAAATAATTATGCTATGAGATTATTTATATTACTTGGATACATTATTTTACATTAGCAGTTTACAGGAAATTCCAATAAACCAGAGAAAAAGGGCCTCTGGGACATTGAATCCACAGTTACGAAAAGATGTCAGAGTTCAGCATTTCAAGGCATTTGTAAATTGAAAAACTCTGAGAATGGCAATTTGAGCACAATTAGAGTTATGATGTGATCACTGACATAAAAATTTCATAACATCTAAGGTATTCTCAAGTTAAATGAAACCTCCAATCTGGCTAATTTCTATACAAAAATGTAATAACTCAGGAACAACACAAGTTATAATTATTAAAAAGTTCCAATTTGAAAAGACCTGACCATTAGTTATATAAGTTATTAAACCGAAACCTCAAATATGTTTTTTTCCATTATAATCAGGACATAAATATAGTAATGCAGCTTATACAAAACTTAAAATGTACAATTTTTTGGTAAAAGGAAGAACAAAAATGTATTGCACTTTTAAATGTGACAAAGTGTTTTTAATATATACTATGACAAAGTATATTCAATATTTACTATGAAAAAGTATAATTACATAGTATATTTAATATTTACTATGAAAAAGTATAATGACAAAGTATATCTAATATATACTATGACAAAGTAAATTTACTATTTACTATTACAAAGTATATTTAATATTAACTATGACAAAATATATTGAATATTTACTATGACAAAGTATATTTACTTTGGATGTCTCTTTCTCTGAACTTGATGAAAATTCTTTTCTTGAGGATGATGGCCTTCTAAAAAAAAAAAACAATAAAATAAAATAAAATTGAAAGGAAAGTCATAATTACTGTTTTAATCTAGCTAAGTACAGTTTTATTTCAAAATAAAGACAAAAAAACTGTGAACTCATGAACATAGATATATATATTTTTGATCTGTTTTTTTTTTTTGAAAAATGGTAATCAGAACCTGTAAAAGAAAAATCCATTGCAAATGTTGTGAAAGTTAGTGAATAAATGAGTAAAATCAAATGTGCTATTTCAGAAAAACTCAAGTAAGCATTGAGGTGTATTATTTACTTGTCTGTACTTGTTTCTTGTTTTCTTCTTTCATCTCTACTTGGCCCTGCATATGATCTTGGCCTTTCCTCCCTGTAGCTAAAATATGAAAAGAAACATGATACATTTCTTCAAAGCTAAGATATTTCTATTGCTGCTATAAAATGTATTATAATATCAATTTGGAAAATATAGAAAGAAAATAAAATGTAATGTAATGTTTGAATAAAAACTATTTGAATATGTAAAAAATGTAATAGATTTAATTGGAAACAAAACGATATGAAGTGGATGTTCTTGTTTCTTTCAATTAACCAATATATGCAAAGGGCCAATGCTTTTATTTGTGTTCTTTATCCAGACAATATGTAAAAGATCTTCAGCAACCAACAGAATTTTCACCTTACAGGAAGATTAATGTGAACAGTAGCATTGACTTAAGCTGTATTCTTTAACATTTAGGTTAGTTGTTGGTAGCTTTATTGACTACCTATTGCAGGAATCTTGGTTCATCTAACAACTTATCAACCTTAACTCTATTAACTACACAAAGAATGCTACTTTGGCTGTTTATTACTTAAAAATTCCATCTATTTACAAATGGATAATCTGATAAAATTCTTTACACAGTTTCAATCAGATTAATTTTTACTTTAGTTTAAGAAGGTGCTAGCGAGGTGTTCTTTTTGATAATAAAATCAGAAATAATTATGAGGACAAATAAATATATATGTGAAAAAGAGGCTATTCTATACCAACATAAAAAGAAAATAAATTTAAAATAAAAGCAAAGAACACCAGATTTTTCAAAAAAAATATTTTGGTAAACATCTTCATTGCACTAGTAGTCCCTTCATTCCCAGTCATACTGTCTTCTTATTCCATAATGATCAGACAATGATTTCTTTTTAATCATTTTTGATATTATACAAATACTGTCTTTTGATGAGGTAAATATGTGGTTTTATTGACTTTTGAAAAACTGATATTCACTGAGGCCGAAGTGAATATCAGTTTTTCAAAAGTCAATTAAACCACATATTAACTGAAACAAAAGACAGTAATTGTTTTATTCCATATTCCGAGAGTGTACAGAGAGTAATGTATGTAATGACAATTATTTACCAAAACCAACTGTACATCAAACGACTTTAACATCATTATACACGTAAAAGCACGCAACCTTGTGCGTGAATATACTTTTTTCCGCAGGTGAATATACTTATTTATTCAAAATTTTGATCATATAGAAAAACCTACTAAAGTTCTATCAATATGGAATAATATTACATATTGATCAGACAATGCTGTCTTTTTAATCATTTTTGATATTATAACACATCTCAGTGTTAGTATTAAAATGAAAAGTCATAAAAAATCCAATACCAACAAGATTACAAGACAAGGAAATCTCACAAACGTGAGGGTAAATTTTTAAGTCTAACCTTGCTTGTACATATGTATTGGATTATTTCAATCCTATAGTTGAATAACCTGTACATGAGTGAAACATGCATCAACCTACCCTCTATCTCTGTAATCCCAGTCCCTGTCTCTGTCCCAGTCTCTTCCTGACCTTGGACGACCTTGTGAAGATCTAGTTTCCTTGGATGATCTTGGTCTATCATATTTATCATCTTTTGATCCTCTAGAGTCTTTCCTTTCTGGGAAATCATCCCACTTTCCACTTCTACTTTTATCTTCTTGCTTTGCTTCCTTTCCTTTATCAGCTTCTCCTCCCTTCTTTTCATCTAATTTTGACTTATCATCTGATTTCTCCTCTTTAGAAGATTTAGGTTTCTGATCTAGAAGCGCAGCAGCTATTTTGTTACTTTTTTCCCTTTTCTCTTTCTCTCTTCTCTCTTTTTCCCTGTTTTCTTTGGAGAATCTAAGATTTTCCCTTTCTTTCTGTTTACCTTCACTTAATTTTTCCTCTTTTGGCTTGACATCTTTTGTTCCATCTTTTACTTTCTCTTTTGTGCTATCTTTATCAAATTTTTTCTCATCATCTTTTTCAGGTTTCTTAAGAACCTGCTAATAAAAGATCACATTCTGTGTAATTCAAACATATTTTTTAACTGTTTTTTTTTATATCTATTAAATAAGAACATTTTACTGATAGAATTTCTCTCCCCATATTTTTTTCTAATATGTATAAAAGACCATTTCCATTATTGCCCAGAAAATAAAATAATTAAGATCAAAGAAATAACCATTACAATATTCAAGATCAAATAATCAAAACATGAAATACAGTTCACCATTACAGTTCACAATAATAACAAGAGCCTGATTCACTTGCTTGTCAAAATTTGCTGCTTATACTTCACCTATCTATTATAGTTTTTGAGATACATGTACTAGGCAAAAATTGGAAATAGGTAAACAAAATCTTGAATAGCTGATCATTTTTTTTCTGTTTACAGTTTCTAACTATCCATTATAGTTTTCGCGATTATAGACAAAGGGCATTTTACTCCTATAATGTGCCAATTGACAATTTTGGTGATGCTGACTTATTTGTAGATCTTATGTTGCTGAATGTTTTTGCTATGTACAATTTCTTTTCATCTTTTTTTCAGTTTCTGCAAAAACCAATGGTAAAATTCCTCTTTCAAAGGATAACTCATACAAAGGATCAACTGACAATTTCAGCCATGATGACTTATTTGTAGATCTTATTCTGCTGATCATTTTTGCTTTTTACAATTTTTCTCTATTTACTATAGTTTTGAAAAATAGAAAAGGGTGAAAATCATTATTTAATGGCAATAACTCCTATAAGGGGTCAATCGAATAACTTCTGCCATGTTGACTATATTTGTTCTGGTAATTTTTACGGTTTACAGTTTCTATCTAAATTACTTTTTAAGATAAAAATTCGTAAGGGTTCCGCGGAACCCAGTGTCTCGCCTACTTTTGCTGTTAATTGCAGGCTCAACAAAAATGAGGAAAAAAATTAATAAAAATATTCCTCTTTATACTATCTTTTGATTGTAAATGAGCATTCAGTTTTAATAAAGTATCCTTAGATTTTAAAATAATTCTTCAAATAAGAATATTTATAAATGAATTCGAATTTGTTAACTCGATTAATTACAATGATATTCATTATTATATTTAAAAACACTGTACATCGTGTTAAATACTGGGGTACGCTAAAGGGTATTCAAAGTTATTTACTTACATTTCAGCGGGTTGCATCTAATTAATTTATTCTAATAGATTGAAATTATAAGAAATACGTTAATAAATATGATTTGATGAAAAATTTGACAAAGGTTTTAAACGAATAATCGTCAGAACCACGTTGTTTGAACTAGTACACGTGTGCGCATGTGTCTATTGTCTGCTGGTGGGAAATTTAATTATGCATCCTAATTCTTCAATAATGCTAAAATTATCATTGATACCTTTATCTAACGTTCATTTCGAGTATTTTCTTGAAGAAATAACTTGAAAAGGCTACTTAACTCAATCGTAAACTTACACGGATATTACGTATCCGTCTCTGATCCGTGATTTATCATTATCAAGTCAACATCCGGCATTAGGAAAATGTGATTTTAAAAACAAAAGTAAAGCTTTTGACAGCGTTATTTTGCACAAATAAAGAGTCTAAAGCGGAATTAAGCAGAATTAGTACGCTGCACTTTCAATTTAACACTTTACATCAGAACATCGAATTTATATCAAAGTAAAGTTTAATATCGTTTTAATGTCAATCATTGGTTATATCATATATGATGGCCAACTGATTATCATAGTTGCCTAATTTACTAAGTCTTAAGGGATAAAAAATCGGGATAAGATATGAAATGTTCGGCTGGCTCAAAAAAATTTTGGAAGCCCTGTTCTTGATACTATCTTATGATCATAAACAAGCTTCTTTCCGAGTTTGGCAGAAATCCAGGATAGTTTAAGAAAGTTATTAAAATTTCAAAAACTTTAACCACAGAGTGAATATTTGTGGACGCCACCGACGATGACGGAATGTAGGATCGCTATGTCTTGCTTTTTCGACAAAAGTCGAAGGCTCGACAATAACCAAAAGTTAAGAAATTTGACAATAGTTCAAATTTCAAAGGCAATTACTGTTAAATGGGTTGTCAATTACTTTTGAAAACTCAGTGGAGGATAGACCTTTTGATTTTTCTTACCCTCATCAGTTTTTCTTTGACTGCTTTAGTTTTATAAGCCGAAAACTGCAGACTCCCCAAAAGTTTTTTTTTTTTTTGCCCTGTTTGTTGATGGATCAAATTCCCCAATAACAATTTCAAAACAATAATCCCTAAGGAACATTCAGGTTAAGTTTGGTAACATTAGGCCAATACGGAAGACGGACACAAAGTGATGACAATAACTCACATGCTCTCTAACATATTCTTAATTACAAAATTTGATATGCTTAATCATGTTAAAAACTGTTCAATAATTTTTACAAAGGAAACAAAATATCATTGGAACTTCTAGTCCAGTGTAAACCAGACCAATATCAGGTCTAGACCTCAGTCGCTAGTTCTATTGTTATGTATCTGTAATTGTTCTTTACATTTTACACAGTTTCTATTTACTGGAAATTGAAAACATGGTTTTGGTCAAATGTGAATCCAAACAAGATGATGATTTTTAACAAAAATTGTATGGCAAAGACACCTATCAGAATTAAAGGTATGATGAATGCATGCATTTCTAACTTCAAATATTGAGAGTTATCTAAACAGAACTTTTGCACATGTTTGAACAACAAATATGATATCAGACATTAAGCATATTTCCTCAAAACAATTGAATAAGAGTGCACACGCTGAAATGTCTCGCGTGTTTTACTGACCATTGATTTCATGTTGAAAGTCTTAAAAAGATAAAGGTTTTACTACAAGTATCACATAAACTTAACATTTTTAAAGATCTGTGACAATGAGGTCAAGGTCAGATAAAACTGTCACACAGACATGTACACCTAACAATTATTCCATACACCAAATAAAGTTGATCCATTGCTTACCTTAATTGAAAAACAGACCAAACCACAAAAAAACTTAATGTAAACCAATGAACCATGGAAATGAGGTCAAGGTCAGATGATACTGGCTAGACAGACATATACACCTTACAATCATTCCATACACCAATTATAGTTGACCTATTACTATTAGTATTTGAAAAACAGACCAAAACACAAAAACTTAAAATTGACCAATGAACCATGAAAATGAGGTCAAGGCCAGATGACACCAGCTAGACAGACATGTACACCTTACAATTATTAATTAAACCAAATATAGTTGACCTATTGCTGATAGTCCTTGAAAAACAGACCAAACCACAAAAACTTAACATTGACCAATGAACCATTAAAATGAGGTCAAGGTCAGATGACACCAGCTAGACAGACATGTACACCTTACAATCATTCCATAGACCAAATATAGTTGACCTATTGCTTACAGTACTTGAAAAACGAACCAAAACACAAAAAATTAACAATGACCAATGAACCATGAAAATGAGGTCAAGGTCAGATGAAACCTACCAGTCTGACATGTACCCCTTACAATCATTCCATACACCACATATAGTTGACCTGCTGCTTGTAGTATCTGAGAAACGGACCTAATCACGTAACTTTAACCTTGATCACTGATCCATGAATTGAGGTCGAAGTCAGGTTAACCCTGTCTGACAGACATGTTGACGTTGCAAGGAACCCATATACCAAATATAGTTATCCTATTACTCATAATAAGTGAGAAATTCACATGACAAAAAAACTATAATTTTAAGAGTGAACCATGAAAATGAGGTCAAGGACAATGGGCATATGACAGACAGAAACTTCGTAACATAAGGTATCTGCATACAAGGTATGAAGCATCCAGGTCTTCTACCTTCTGAAATATAAAGCTTTATACAAATAGTTTACTCCACTGCCACCGGATAGTAATACATATGTCTCGCATACTGTGACTACTGCGACGAAAAGGCGAGAAAAAAACTGTACTTGATCTAATACTAACTTTTGGTTGATCGTCTTGAGATTTTTCTTTCCTTTCAGATTCCCTTTCACGATCCTTTTCCTTCTGTCTTTCTTTTTCCTTGTATCTCTCTCTATCTCTTTCTTTTTCCCTTGTAAATCTTTCTTGTTCTTTTTCTCTTCTTCTCCTTCTGTCTTCTTCTCTTATTTTCCTTCTTTCTAATTCTTTTTTCTTCCTTTCATCTCTTTGTTTCTGTATGAATATTGTTTTTATTTGAATTAAAAAATATCGATCCTGATGGATTCATACAAAGAAACATATAACTCACTTAAATTCTTCTTATATAGAAAACAGTAAGGCTAGCAACATACTGAGAACATGGTGTAGCTTATATAAACCAATCTAGATACCAAATATCAAGAAACTGTGTTTTTTATGTTGCAAAGACAATCAATATTAATCATTTTTAGATGTAGATAATATTTCAAAAGATATACATCTTTTATTTATATAACCATATTAAAGTTAAATTGGTAGCAGCTATGAAAACTGTGACTGAAAATATGTAGAAATACAAATAGTTTAACCAGTTTATTTATGAGTAGACCTTTCTTCTGAGTGTTAATTTCTTATAGCTGATTGGGTTTCACAATAGTTTCTGTATCATTTCATAAGAGTTACTGTGGATTTAGTTAATCATGCTGATTAAAAACCAATCATGTATGATTTACATTACAATAATTACATCATATGTATGTTTCATGAGAATCCGTTAGTCTGATTGGTTAACAACAATTGTGCGTCATTCAAAAATTAACCTTCATATCAAAATGAAATGTTACATTCATGATGACACGTGCTTCCACAAAAAACTGCACGGGTAAATAAGAGAAAAACTTGATAAAACTTTTTTTCATGGTCTTATTAGCATAAAAATGTAATTCTAAGAAATGAATGCTTCTTTTTGTAATTTTATTGGGGTGTTAAAGTGTTGATCGTGCACACATTTTAAGAATGAAGCTCTTCCGTGCTTCATACAAAATGTGCTTCGGTCAACACTTTTACACCCCAATAAAATTACAGAAAAAAGCCTTAATTTCTAAATTACAATACAGACCTGTATAATAAGTTTTTTCTCCTCCCTTTTCTTTCTTATATAGTCAATCAATGGTGTACTGACTTTCATAGCCTTTTTGGCTGAAATGGAAAAAAACAGTTTTGAACCATTTCAAGCAATGTTTACAACTCTTCATATACTATGGTAAATACCTTTAGAATCAAGACCATCTCATGAGTGCTGATCTTTATGTTTTTAATTGATGAAAATTAGGAAATGAATTGTGACACACCTTATGGAATTGATAAACAACCAAACAAAGTATTTTCTTTCAACTGCATGTAGTATTCAAAATATAGAACTGATACAATTTATTAACATGGAATTAATGTTTGACCTTTCAAATATAACCTATTTTATGAAAATCCTTCCAATATTGGGTTTAAACAACCTTCTAAAGTATCATTAACAAACTCAAAGCAGACACAACGGTTGAATATAGACCTTAGATGGAGACCTTTCAACTATGTTTGAGACTCAAACCTTTAAGAAAATTATCAATTTTTTTTTACAAGACACCTTATGATAGTGGTGAACATTGCCATCAAGAATCAGCAATTAACTCCAGTGTAACTTAAGGTGGTACCCAACACCTTGACTAATATTAATTTGGCTCGTTTAATTTTCATAAAATTTTGACAAAATGTTTACTTTGACCCTTTGACAAAAATATAAAAATTTCAAAAAATTTGAACCAACCACTTTATCAGAAAAATTTCATTGGTTATATAACAGTTTGACAAACACTAATTTTGATCATTGAGAAGCTTAATATTTCCTTAACAATACAATGTAATTAAAACGTTTAGCTGATTTTTACAGAGTTATCTCCCTGTAGTGTTAGGTACCACCTTAAGATATAGAGCGGACACAATTTATAAATATGGATGAAGGATGGCAAACTTTCCACTACAATGCTGACATTTAGCTAGGGTACCACTACTAAAGTCAAGATGGGGAAAATTTCAAACAAAGATAAACTGTTGACACAGAGATATGTCTCGCCTGTTGGCATAAAATTCAGAAAAAGACAATCTGATGGACAACAACATGGTTTATTAATTCAGTTGCTGGACCATTATCTAGTGAGCAGGGCTTGAAAATAATCATCAAACTGATATGTACTGATAGTAATGCAACTTTATACAAAATATAATTGATCTATCACAAATAGTTCTTATCAAACTTACTTAAGCAGAAAACTTAACATTGAAAATTCTAATTAATTCAAAGTCACTGGACCATGACCTAGGGGGCACGGCCTTGAAATAGTCGTCAAGCTGATATATACTGATAGTAATGCAACTTTATATTAAATATCAATGATCTATCACAAGTAGTTCCTATCAAACTAACTTAAGCAGAAAACTAAACAATTGTTGACCCTGGAGCCGTCACCGGAAAAGCAATCCCTATGTCTCGCTTTCCATGACTTTAATTGCAGGCGAAACAATAAGGACTATCCTATATTACCCTTCATATCTTTTTCTTTGTTTTCTAGTTCCTCCAGATAAGCCTCTATTGTCTGTGTTTCCTCTGCCTCTTCATTTTGTAAATATTCCAAAAACTTCACATAATCTGGATCTGTAGCAATAAAATACATGTGTATAGAATGAAATGAAAAAAGGAAAGTATAGTTAAGGTCTTTCAAACTTAAGGAAGTTTCAAGCTTCATCATATCACAGGGTTATTGCCCCTCATGAGATTGTTGTCAAGAAATTCCCTTTCATTTTTAGAATTATAGGTAATTATAACTATTCATGAATCATCTAAGTACAAATCTACAAAACATATATTTACGTTTAGATTTCCTATTCAAATTTCATATCTATCTCCTCATTGGTATTTAAAAAGAGAGCAGCATCAGATCTGTTTATGTATTCACCTTGGTTTTAACATTACTGTTTAATAATGAAATGCAATATGACTTTAAGCTGCAGTCAGATAGTTGTTTTATGAGTCAGTGATACTTTGATCAAATGAGATTAAAGGGGAATGGCTTAGATCTAAAAAAAAAACCACCAAAATAAATGGGGGAATGCGTCCGTGGGACACAGATGATGCCCAAGCTTGCATATAACATTATAGAGGATCATAACTCAAGAACAGTATAAGTGACGCTACCCAAATTTGTACTTGACCTGAGTTTTGTGGTAATAAGCATTGTGTATACGTTTCATAACATTTAGTTGAGGCAAACTTAAGTTAGAGAACGGAAACAAAAAATTCAGCGATTTTCCATTTGTAAAGGGCATAACTCTAGAACGGTAAGAGTGACGCCACCAAAATTCAAACTTGATCTGTGTTTTGTGGTAATAAGCATTGTTTATAAGATTCATAACATTTGGTTGAGGCAAACTTAAGTGAGAGAACGGAAACGAAAAATTCAGCAATTTTTCCATTTGTAAAGGGGCATACACTAGAACGGTAAAAGTGACGTCACCCAAATTCAAACTTGATCTGTGTCTTGTGATAATAAGCACCGTATATAAGTTTCCTAACATTTGGTTGAGGCAAACTAAAGTTAGAGAACGGAAACCAATTTTGGGACGTACAGACGGACAAGGCTAAAACTTAATGCCCCCTCAGCTACGGCTGGGTAATGAAAAAAAAATCCCACCAAAGAATCAATCAAATGTCCAAGTTCCAAATCATGATTCTTATCATTATATGTCTCTATTTATATTTTTCCCTTTAACAGTTTCTTGGTAGGATGTTGTGTTCATTTAAAACTTTTTTAGACTCTGGGTGATTTCGAGTTTTACATACTAAATGTAGTTTGTTGAAGACTTCATGTTAACCTCTTGATGTCTCTAGTTTTTTTATGTTGTAGATTAGTTGTCTCATTGACACTGGCAACAAACCTTTTTTATTCAAAGTTTTTTCTTATATCATAGGAGACAGATTAATGTAGATGGAATTCTACTCATTTTTTGTAGGTCAAGCTCCATACATATTTTCAATTCAATAAATAAAAAATAAAAGTTCCAAGATTCTTTAGTTTGTGAGAATATTTAGACAAATGAGTTGACACAAATGTGTAAATTAAATGGTTCCTGAACTAATAATTTAGGTCAATATATTTATAAATTACATCTGTACTGGCTGATTCTAGGTTGACTTTATACCTCCTGATAGAACAAAGATTTCTAGAGTGTTGAAAACTTGATAAAAGCTTTATAAACTTAAATGATAAATGATATCATGAAGAGGTGCATAATTGAATTTTTGTTAAAGAAATAACCAGTACTACTTCTACTGTTTCTACCTTGTTCAATGCTTCCCATTTTGACATCCACTTTCTTTGGTTTTCTCCTGGGTACTTTCTGGTACGGAGCAAGCTCAACAATAGCAGAATATTCGTTCCCTGTAATTAGCGAATAATATAAATCTAATGCTTGTTGCAGCATAATACTGTACCAGCATGATAATAGGCCTATTAGGGTATACATTAAAAGATAATGTGTGCTCTTTTAAATGCATATATATATGTATAGACTATTACATGGCAAATATCATATCAGACCCTTTATCGGCCCTAGGTCATGATATCAGCCCAAGAGCCGTAGGCTCGAGGGCTGATATCATGAACGAGGGCCGATAAAGGGTCTGATATGAAAAATGACATGTAATGATCTTTTTATCATATACTTCAGCAGAAGAAATACAGACAAGAACTATTAAGATTTTGTCTTTCTTTGAACTTTTAGATAATAATTTACAGACAGCCAAATACAAATTTCTTAACTTTGTTTTTATTGATAATACAAGCATTTTATTCATCTTGTGACATATTACAACAATTATCATGTTCTTAGTTTGAAAAGCTTATTGTCACCTTTCCTGTGATGGTTGCCCCCGAAAACATGTGCATAGTTATGCCTGAAGTTGTTGGGGCTAGAACCTGTCTAGAGTTGGACTCAAAATTTGATATGTCTTTCAAAACATGTGTTATCTTAATTCATTGTTGGTTCTCAACCATTTTGTGAAAAGTATTAAATCACTTGCGGTTTCCGCACTGTGTTGATGTTTTTCAAAGACTCGACAAACGCAGCTGTGTCGTCTGTCATGTTTGCAACCAAATTTCCAGAAATTCACGAAGTTGCATGCGATAAACGTCACGAACATTAACGGAAAGGCATGTGATAACATTCCAGAAGCAGTCAATAAAGGTTCGTTTATCAGCCTGCCGAGGAAACTTTTAGGAATCTTGTAAATAAACATAGTAATCCTTTCATAGCCTTTTAATATTTTTAAATGTTATTGAACTGTAAAATTTAAGTAATATTTTATACAAGTATATGATAAATATATATATATACCAGTACCAGGCAAAATGTAATTATAGACATGTTAGACACTTTATAGCTTGAAAACTTTACGATTTATACAAAATCTGTTAAACAGATAAAATTCTAATTAAGTATGCTAAAAGAAAAACACAGTTGTGTCATTGGCAGTCATGTCACATCTCCTTATCTTTATATTGGGTCATCAATCATAATATTGTAAGGGGTCATCAATCATAATATTGTAAAAGGGATCAGCAATGTATCTTTCTCATATTTTAGGTTGACAACTCTATTTATGTCTTCAAATTCAACAAACCCTTTCCATCCACAAATACATAGCCATCAAATTGGTCTCTGAAGTTGTAAACATCTTCATAACTCTGGAAGTTAATGTATGCTCTTGTGAAGGCATTCTGACCAAGGCTAAAAAATAAATTACATCTACTGTTATACATGTAGGACAGATGTAAGTCATATTCAACAAAGCACAACATAAAGTTCAAACAACAATGCTGTTTTTAAAATATCTTCACAGCCTAGTAGAATTAGTGTTACTGAATGTTTAATTTATATCAACACATTACATGAGTTCTGTACTGTGGATTCACTATAATCTGTTTGATACCAATTTTTCATGGCTATAACATAGATAGGAAAACCACAAATTTACATGATCAATGATGTACAAATTTTCCATAGACATGTATACAGACTTTGGCAAAACCATGAAATCAAATATCATCGAAAATACAATTTTTCCTCAATCTGAGAAAATTGATATCCATGAAAATAAATGAATCCACAGTATTTACTACCAGTAATCAAAATTAGATTTTTTTTTATATAGAAAGTTCTTAGAAAATAACATTTTGCAGTGTCTATGTAGATTTTTTCATTAACAACAGTAGGATTTATTTTCATTCATTATTTTGTTCTTCAGTGTTGCAGCCACCATACCTCATATCAGCTCTAACAAAATAGAATTCATGGCTAGGCAAGGGAGACAACTGCTCAAGCAGAGTTTCTGGTGTCAAACTTGGTGGTAATCTTCTTATTAAAACCTGAAAGGAAGAAATGTATTTAGATAATATCTATGATAAAAGACATTTACTACCTATCTGACACAATCAAAATTTACTCTTTTTTTGTATATCTTTACAAAATTAATTCTCTATTATTTACATATTGCAATGATTCATATTATGGTTTGAGAATTTTATTTTGTTCAGGTTTTAAAATACATTTGTTTCGGAACGAAATGTTTCATTATTGTTTTTGGAACAGTCACAGCATCAAACTATGGTTTGGTAGAGAAAGTGTCATATAATGGTTTGGTACAGAAAGTGTCATATAATGGTTTGGTACAGAAAGTGTCATATAATGGTTTTGAACCGAACGTGTCATATAATGGTTTGGTACAGAAAGTGTCATATAATGGTTTGGAACAGAAAGTGTCATATAATGGTTTGGAACAGAAAGTGTCATATAATGGTTTGGTAGAGAAAGTGTCATATAATGGTTTGGACCAGAAAGTGTCATATAATGGTTTGGTAGAGAAAGTGTCATATAATGGTTTGGAACAGAAAATTTCATATAATGGTTTTGTAGAGAAAGTGTCATATAATGGTTTGGAACAGAAAGTGTCATATAATGGTTTGGTACAGAAAGTGTCATATAATGGTTTGGTACAGAAAGTGTCACATAATGGTTTGGTACAGAAAGTGTCGTATAATTGTTCAGTACAAAAAAAGTTTCATGTATTTGTTTTAGTAAAGAAGTTGCAAGTAATGTGCAGCATAATTCACTGGGTTCCCAGATTTTTTAACGGAATCAAATTTTCAGACGTTTTTTATAAAATGGTACTACATTTTAAAATATTTCCTTGGTCCCTTGCTGTTACCAAAAACAAGGTTGATTTTCATCTGGCACAAATGTGACTAAAGCCCTCAAAATCCTAGCTGAAACCCTGCTGTTTACATAATAAAAGACAATGTTTGACATGCCGTTTTTGAATTATCAATCAGCGTGCTAAAGTACGGCCTTATAGGAATTCTGTTTTATTAAGTCATTTCCCATAATTTAATGTTAAGTTGGGATGTGTTCTCCATGTGTGTGCTTAAAAATTTTGCATGCGTGTGTTATTATTGTATGATTTACATTTTATTGTAAAACTACAACATTTTCAAATTATTTGATTTTCTTGATCCCATGTTTAATTGTTCTTTAGTAATTATCATTACTTCCCTTTACTCAACCGGGCTTTACTCATTATGTCTTGATAACAAATACGAAATATAAGTTAATAAACAACCTGAGACAAAATGATAACTGTATACAAATGGTATACAAGCAACTAAAGATACATGTACAGCCTTCAACAATGAATTAAACCTATTCTGCATTGTAAGCATTAAACACATACACCTATTTACAAACGTTTTGTTTAATGTTTCAATGTATAGGTACACAAATGTACCACATAAAAATGTTTAGGGTATATATAATTTATTATGTTTAACAACGACATTTTGTGCCACTATCTTATTAAAAAAGTTTTTTTTTCTGGTATGATATGTCTTACATTACCACATTATGATAAACAATGATAAAGGACATAGATTTGAGACAGAAATGGCCATAGATTTGAGTTAATAAAGGATATAGATTTGAGTTAATAAAGGATATAGATTTGAGACAATACAAGACATAGATTTGAGACAATAGAGGACATAAATTTGGAACGTGTATGACCCACTATTAAAAAGGACATAGATTAGTGGAAAGGACATAAGATTTGAGGCCAGATGAATAAAGGTCTGCAAACTTGCCCCACTTATGAAAAGGAGTTAAATCCCGATGAATATAGGTCTGCCAACTCACCCCACTTATGAAAAGTATTAAGGTCTGCCAACTCGCCCCACTGATGACAAAGTAGTATAATCCCAATGAATAAAGGTCTGCCAACTCGCCCCACTTATGAAAAGAAGTTTAATTCCGAAGAATAAAGTTCTACCAATATAAAAATAAAATGCTACGCTGGGCGCAGCTTGATACGACCGCAGAGGTCGAACCATGAACAGTTGGGGCAAGTATGGACACAACATTCAAGCTTGATACAGCACTGAATTTGGATTGTTTTTAAATATTTGACACAGCATAGGTTTCTGACACAGAATGAATGTGGTCTAAGAACTTAAAAAATTTTAATTTACCAATTATTGTAATGTTTACAAACACTTTTTTTTTCACACAAACTTGTTGACGCAATTTTACAAAAAAATGAGACGAAAGACATATGACTTTTATTTGATCTCTTGATAGATATATGTAAACAGTTTCAGAAAAGGTATCACTCCAAGGGATTGAAATTCTACTTTTGGCCAATTTTTGGGGAAATATGTGACATCTTTACCCACCTTTTTGCAATATTTTATAGCAATTAAAAACAGATTGTTGCCATGGATACACCAAAAAGAAATTTTATTTAACTATTTTAACTACTGGAAATCAAATTTTTGGAAGGTACTGATTACATACATATGCACACATATGACACAAACAGTAGGCTTAATTTGTAAGAAAGCAAGGAAAAGGGGATGGTAAAATTTATCAGGGTAAATTTTTATTTTTTTTCCTAACTGTATATTGCTACCTTATGGCATACTTGGAAAGCTCAGAATAGCATAATTTAAGACTATTCATACCACAAATCTATTAAGATTTAGATTCTAAATCAATTTCTGAGGAAATAAAGTGTTTTAGAATGACAATACATGTCAATTGTATTGTTTATTTACCTTAGCAACCAAAAATAGATATTTTGACTTAAAGCTTATTTTTGTACTCTATTCGCTTAACCCTTGCTACCAAAGGATTGCACTGTATTTAATAGCCAAAGTATTGAAAGCTTTGTATTTTTTTATGCGAATATATCAAATTATTATTTTTAGCAAGGTTTCATGTTACATTTTTGCTGAAACTAAATGTATATTTTGTTTTTACTGTTAGAAATTGATTCCCTATTAGCAAGTTTCATAATCAGGGCTTTGGTATGCAATACATATAAAAATTAACATTTTGTGCTTTAAATTGGTTAATTTTGTACAATTTTGCATCTTCAGAGATCTTATTATGATTTGCAACATTAAAAAAAAAAAATACAAGAGGTATAGTTTTTAAAATTTAACCACAAGTTGGGGCAGAAATGAAATTTTACACTTTGAAATAATTAGCACTTTTCCTTAAATCATTTTTTTTTGTAGCGTTTCAGTGTCAACTGCTAACTTTCATAAAATATTTATTACGCAACCAATTTTCAAAAATAAAAGGCCAATTTACTCGTTTAAGCTAGCAGAACACAGAAAATTAATTAAAAGAGGGAATTTAAAAAAAATATTTATTATTAAGGTAGCAACACACAGTTAGGAGTGTAGTTTCCCATTTTGGCCATGGTGGATTTTTCAAATATGAAAGTTAGTGTGCAATAAAATTCATTTTTAGACAGCTGATGACTAATTTAGCCTTCATAGTGGGTTTATAAGAACATCAAGATTATTTTTGACATGTTTTATGGGCTGTTTTCTGTTTGACTGTCTTTATTTTCATAGCCAGACGGGCCATAGGTCCAGAAATTATTGTAATGTTTACAAACACTTTTTTTTCACACAAACTTTTTGACACAATTTTACAAAAAAATTAGACGAAAGACATGACTTTTATTTGATCTCTTGATAGATATATGTAAACAGTTTCAGAAAAAGTATCACTCCAAGGGATTGAAATTCTACTTTTGGCCAATTTTTGGGGAAATATGTGAAATCTTTACCCACCTTTTTGCAATATTTTATAGCAATTAAAAACAGATTGTTGCCATGGATACACCAAAAAGAAATTTTATTTAACTATTTTAACTACTGGAAATCAAATCTTTGGAAGGTACTGATTACATACATATGCACATATATGATACAAACAGTAGGCTTAATTTGTAAGAAAGCAAGGAAAAGGGGATGGTAAAATTTATCAGGGTAAATTTTTATTTTTTTTTTCCTAACTGTATATTGCTACCTTTAGGACAATTACCCCCAAACTCAAACCCAGCTTTCCCTTTGTGATATGGAACCTTGTAGTACAATTTCATAAAGATCAAAACACTTACACACAAGTTATTGTCCTGAAACTAGAAAAATGCTTGTTTTTTGCCCCTTTTTTGCCCTTAATTCCTAAAATTTTGAGGCAATTACCCCCAAACTCAATCCCAGCCTTCCCTTTGTGGTATGGTACCTTGCAGAACAATTTCAGAGAGATCCATACATTTGAACACAAGTTATTGTCTGGAAACTAGTAAAATGCTTATTTTTTGCCCCTTTTTGGCCCCTTATTCCTCAACATTTTGGGCAATTACCCCCAAACTCAATTCCAGCTTTCCCTTTGTGATACAGAACCTTGCAGTACAATTTCAGAAAGATCCATACACTAACACACCAGTTATTGTCATAAAACTAGAAAAATGCTTGTTTTTTGCCCCTTTTTTGGCCCCTAATTCCTAAAATTTTGAGGCAATTACCCCCAAAATCAATCCCAGCATTCCCTTTGTGATATGGAACCTTTTTGGCCCCTAATTCCTTAACTTTTGGTACCATAACCCCCAAAATCAATCCCAACCTTCCTTTTATGGTATTGAACCTTATGGTAAAATTTCATAGAGATCCATTCACTTAAACTAAAGTTAGAGTGCAAAAAGCAATGTGTCTTCGGACGACGATGATGACGACACCTAAATTTAAAGCATGTTTGACACCCAAGCTGTCAAATGAAGCCATATAATTATCCAAGTTCTTTGATTTACAAGTAAAAATTACCTTCATCAGTGACACAAGATGGATATTAGAGATTGACATTGATGGTAATAAAAATGTAGATTGACAATTTTTTGGGGGTTGAAATCTTCGAAAACAGCAGATTTGAATTATTTACGGGAGGGACGGAAGAGGTCTTAAAAATTACGAGTTTTTGTCCTCCCCCCTAAAGAATCACATGCATGCTTTTTCATAAGTGGAGCGAGTTGGCAGGACTAAATTCATCAGGATTTTACTATTTATCGTAAGCTGGTAAATTGGGGGAAGTTGGCAGGACTGATTTCATCGGGTCGGTTTTTTCACCGCCAAACACCACCGAACACCCAAAAAGACCACTATCCCTTAAGAGAACAGTAATGTTACACAATAAAACAATAAAATCGATTAAATTACGTAAAATTTAATCCTATTGTCATGTTTTTCACATTTTTATGTGCATTAGTGATGTAAGCTGGTCCTCGACTGACAGCTTATTAGTGATGTTAAAATTGAGAATCAAAATATAAAAAAAAACGCTTCCGGACACAGCAATATTTTTTCCGGACTGACATTGTCTGTATTTCATTGTATATTATCTTATGGTCTTTACTTTTCAATTATTAGAAAAAAATTGTTCAAATAAGTTAAGAAAACATTTTATTTAATGTGAAATTATCACAATAATTATATTTAAAAAAATGTTAGACTTGAAAGTGTACTGTTCTGACAACAGCCCTGCAAGACTGTTCTTTTTGGTTCTCTTGTTATCATTTCTTATTAATTTGTGTATATATATATGTATAAACATATTCATCCTCGTTCAGAAGGTAAGCCAAATATATAAATAAAGATGAAAACAATATATTTAGGTGTGTTAGACGGTATTTTAATGTGTTCTGTGGTGTTCTGCGGTGTGCGGTGGTGAAAAGACCTACCAGATTTCATCTGGATTTTACTCTTTTCATAAATGGGACGAGTTGGCAGAACTAAATTCATCGGCATTTAACCCTTTTCATAAGTGGGCGAGTTGGTAGAAAGTGGGGCAAGTTGGTAGAAAGCAGGCGAGTTGTCAGATGCTTGCTTACATTTCAAAACATAAGAAAAAAAAAATTCCAATGATAGGATATTCACTTTTGTCGGAGGACTTTCTTTTTCTCTTTTTCTTTCTGATGATTTTTTTTCTTGGTCATCCAAAGCCATGTTGTCTCTTCTATCACTGCAGCGTCTTCATTGTTTTCACCAGTACTTAAAAGAATAAAGTTTTGGTATATAAAAAATAATATAATGATAAAACGGATTCTTATTCATCAATGTTAATAAAACGCTTGAACTGGTACTCGTCAAGATCAAAATAAAGCTTGCATCGGTCTGGTCAAGGTCAAATTTGATGATTTGTGATCGTTGAAGAAGTGAAATGTGGTGGGAAACTATACCATCAGCTGTCATAGTTTGGGCTGCTTTATTTGCTCCTTGTGTGATTGGATATGGTTCAAATTACTTGAGAAAAAATGGAAAAGTATGTTGGCTTAATATCAAGTTCAAGTCTTCTTTCCATGCATGTTCATGTCTCAGACACCTGTATCTGTTAGTAATTGTACATTGTACATGTTGTATATGTGGATGTAAGAGCCAAATCTATGTCCAGCCTCAATTGGTCTGTGTCCCGTGACGTCATGAACTCAAATGTGTGGCACTTTGCATTTAACCCTTATACTGCCAATATGCTGATCAGGGGACTGGATCAGGGCCAATTGACGTCACCTTTAACTGCCAATGGGCGGATCAGGCTGATTGACGTTGCCTTTAATTGCACAAAGACGAATTTAATTGTTCTTTAACTGCTAATGGGCTGATATGCCCGATGGTTAAGGTTAATAAAATAAACATTGATTTCAGCTATGAAAGCATAATATAATGACAGTCTGCCAGTGTTCTTTCATTCTCTCATCACATGCCTTGCTTACATTTGAATTCATGGAATCCGGGTCCGTTCGCCCAAAAACATGTTCGCGCCCATTCACGTTGGCCCCCTGCACCCTACACATTCGTCTCAAAGTCCGTTCGCACCCTTTTTATTGGTTTTGTGTTTAATAATTTTGTAACTGGGTTTTGGTAAGTGTATTGCTGTAAAACTTTTTTTTTTTATTGTTTCAAAATAAAGTGAGATTCTGACAACATTTTTTTTGTGTTGAATAAATCTTAATCATATTTTGGTTAGTGTATTGCTATAAAAAAAAATCTTTGTTTCTAAATAAAGTGAGATTCTGACAACGTTTGTTTTTTGTGTTGAATAAATGTTAATCATCTTTTGGTTAGTGTATTGCTTAGTATAAATTTATGTTTCCATTGTTTCAAAATAAAGAGATTCTCATGTTTTTTTTTGTGCTGAATAAATCTTTAAATTTTGTTTTGGTTAGTGTTGTGATATAATTTTTTTTTTCATTGTTTCAAAATAAAGTGAGATCAAAGGGGCCAAGCTGTTAAAATCAATTATTACATTGATTGCAATGAATTACATTGATTTCCCAGTGAAATAAAAACCGATAATTTCACATGTGAAATAAAAACCGATAATTTCACATGTGAAATAAAAACCGATAATTTCACATGTGAAATAAACGTGGTTATTTCACTCCTCTGACGTCATACAACAATAGGCGTTGTCAAGACGTCGATAAAGTCGGATCAAAACAAATTGTGAATGCGTAGAAAAAGATATAGTTCCTTACATTTTCAACTTTAATTTCATAAAAAAAGCCATTTGTCAATGTAATAAAAAGAATAACTAATCAAAGAATTCAAATATCGAAAAATATTCAACTCGTGACCGAACAACACTGATAACTAACTCATGCGCTACGCGCATTCGTGAATTAATGTGTTGTTCGGTCACTCGCTGAATATTTTTCTCTATTCGAATTCTTCGATTAGTTATTCTATAATTATCTTTCATGTTTTTCTTTTAAAATCGTCAATGTTTTCTCATACCAAGCTAAATACATGCAGTATTTACATCAAAGCTAGTTTATATAACAATCATGATTTTCAAACACACAACAATAATACCAAATTAAGCTGTGAATAAATACCAATTAGCAGTAATCATATACATTGTATTTGTACATAATTAACATTTAATAATTAATCATCAAATTGATAAAAAAAAAAAACAAAAAAAACATTCATATAATAATTCCTCAATTTTTATTCAGGAAAATTTTTTTTTTTTGGTATATACACATAAAATTTTTTTGGTATATACACATAAAAAATATCTAATTAAAAATAATTAAACTTGAATTTGAATAAAAATTGGGTGTGAACGGACCTAGGGGGCGAACGTGAAGGGTGCGAAAGTGTATTGGGCGCGAACGGACCTGATATCCTTACATTTCAAAACATAAGAAAAAAAAAATTTCCAATGATAGGATATTCACTTTTGTCGGAGGACTTTCTTTTTCTCTTTTTCTTTCTGATGATTTTTTTTCTTAGTCATCCAAAGCCATGTTGTATCTTTTATCACTGCAGCGTCTTTATTGTATTTTTTAAACGTCATTTAGCCAATTCTATAATTTAATAATGATGTCTTGTAAACTAGTGCAATGGCTTCCATATATGTATATCATATTTGATTTTTGTTTATTATGTTTTATGTAAATTATGACGTTGGTATTTTTGTTTTTTGTTGGTGTTTGAAATGTTTCTCATTTGTCATTTTGGGACCCTTTATAACTTTCTGTACCATATGGGTTTTTCTCATTGTTGCAGACCGTACAGTTTCTTTAAATCTTCGTCATTTGGTCTCTGTTGGCCATGTAATCTTAATAACCATATATATGGCAAACAAATTTAAAAACTGCAATTTTTATACGTGTGCATGCAAAACAAATTTCTTGGTAGAGGGGTCTAAATACAGCACAAACAACATTTTCCAAAAGACCAAATGAGTGAAAAAGTATATTTTAACAAAATGCATTTGACTAGCAGGTCGAACAACTGATGTTCTTAAACCCTGCTGACTGCCATTGGCGATTGCCAAATAAACGGATCACAAGATGTATTAAAATGGATCTTATAATTAATGTACTACCAAACAGAATACAATAAACTTGCGGAAAAGATGGTATACCGCAAACATGAGGTGCAAAAATTTGTACACCATATTCGGATTTCGACAATTAATGTCTCTTCAGTGATGTTAGGAATCGAAACGGTATTTGGAAGGCAATATAATTTACCTCAATTTGAGATTGACTCTTGAATTTAGAAGAGTCAAAATAGGATGAACGGATCATATAAACCCGAAGGCAAATATATATATATATATATATATTTTAACAAAACGCATTTGACTAGCAGGTCGAACAATGGATGTTCTTAAATCCTGCTGACTGCCATTGGCGATTGCCAAATAAATGGATCACCAGAAGTAACAAAATGGATCTTAACTATTAATTTAATACCAAACAAAAAACAATAAACTGGCAGAAAAGATGGTATACCGCAAACAAAAGGTGCAAAAATTAGTACACCATATCCGGATTTCGACAATTAATGTCTCTTTAGTGATGTTAGGAATCACTGAAGAGACATTAATAGTCGAAATCCGGATATGGTGTACTAATTATACTGTATTACAGCAAGAGATAAGTATGGTGACCCAATAGTTATTTAATATTTTCTAAAAGTATTTTATAACATTTTAAAGAGCTAAATAACTTAGTTTTACTGAATTTACTGACTTTTTATACGACCGCAAAAAAATTTTGTGGTCGTATATTGGTATGACGTTGGCGTCGTCGTCGTCGTCCGAAGACACATTGGTTTTCGCACTCTAACTTTAGTTTAAGTGAATGGATCTTTTTGAAATTTGACCATAAGGTTAAATACCACAAAAGGAAGGTTGGGATTGATTTTGGGGGTTATGGTACCAACAGTTAAGGAATTAGGGACCAAAAAGGGGCCAAAAATAATCATTTTCTAGTTTCCAGACAATAACTGTGGAAGGGTGTATGGATCTCTCTGAAATTATACTACAAGTTTCCATACCACAAAGGGATGGTTAGGATTTGCTTTGGGGGGTTATGGCTCAAACCGTTTAGGAATTAGGGGCAAAAAAGGGGGAAAAACAAGGTTGTCCTGGTTAATGGACAAATACTTTAGTACAAAACATAATTTAAAGCAGTGTAAGGGAGATAAATCAAATACATCATTGAAATTATCTCCCTTACACTGCTTTTAAATTATGTATAAAGTAATGGTTAATGAACAATAAAGATAATTTAAAACAGTGTAAGGGAGGTAATCCAAATACAACGTTTTGGTTACTTCCCTTACACTGCTTTTAAATTATGTTTAAAGAAATACATATTTATAAAGGAAGACCAGTAAAAATATCTGCAAATGTTGCATCTTTTTTTTTTACAAAAAAATCCATATGAAAGATTTGACACTATATTTTTAATTCTATTATAAAATAGATTAAGTTAGCACTATGGTAAATTTAAATGGGTAATTATGGTTGCCAACTCCATTGGAAATTTGAATTGAGATTATGACCATATCTTGAGGGAAAGAATTTTTTTTGGGGAAAAAGGGAGGGGGGGGGGGGTATAAAAAGAAATTGTGGGGGGTCAATTTTTTCTCATTTCAGATTTCAGAAATTAAAAAGAATTATTCCTCAAATATTTTTTTTTTTTTCAAATTTCAAATATTGAAAAATTTCAAGAAGTAATCGTATGGCGCATTAGATTTGTAAAATCTTTGATCAAATTTATTTATTTGTTATGCCGATTCTAACAGTGTATTTAGATTTTTTATTTTGGGTCCAGTTTTCAAATTGGTCTACATTAAGGTCCAAAGGGTCCAAAATTAAACTTTGTTTGATTTTAGCAAAAATTGAATATATAAGGTTCTTTGATATGCTGAATCTAAACATGTATTTAGATTTTTGATTTTTGGCCCAGTTTTCAAGTTGGTCCAAATTGGGGTCCAAAATTAAACTTTGTTTTATTTCAACAAAAATTGAATATATGGGGTTCTTTGATATGCTGAATCTAACCATGTATTTAGATTTTTTATTTGTGGACCCCGTTATCAAATTGGTTCATATTGAGGTCAAAAGGGTCCAAAATTAAACTTTGTTTGATTTCATCTAAAATTGAATTATTGGGGTTCTTTGATATTCCAAATCTAACCGTGTATTTAGATTTTTAATTTTGGGTCCTGTTTTTTAAATTGGTCTACATTAAGGTCCAAAGGGTCCAAAATTAAACTTAGTTTGATTTTAACAAAAATTGAATTCTTGGGGTTCTTTGATATGCTGAATCTAAACATGTGTTTAGATTTTTGATTATTGGCCCAGTTTTCAAGTTGGTCCAAGATAGGGTCCAGTATTTAAACTTTGTTTGATTTCAACAAAAATTGAATATATGGGGTTCTTTGATATGCTGAATCTAAACATGTATTTAGATTTTTGATTATGGGCCCAGTTTTCAAGTTGGTCCAAATTGGGGT